CCAATACTTCATGGGGAGAGCAGAACATTGTTCTATGCTCCGCATTTATAGGGCTTTAATCCGTTCCAAACTTGACTATGGCTGTGTGTTATGTATGGATCAGCGAGACCTGTGCTACTGAAATTGGATTCAGTCCACCATCAAGCACTACAGATTTGCTGTAGAGCCTTCAGAACCTCTCCAGTCTAAAGTTTATATGTCATCTGTTTTGAACCATCTTTGGAATTCAGACACAAGCAGTTGTCCATTGATCTTCATTATAATGTAATGTCACAGGCCGAACATCCTGTCCGACTCATGACATCTGATCAGCACTGGCATCTTTACCAAGCTCGTCCTTCATGTATCCCACCTTTTGATCTTTGCATTCACTCACTGATTGAAGAATTCAACCTAAATGATCTGCATCCTAAAAACTTTGACCTTTTCGGTATTGCTCCCTGGCAAGAAGTGAACATTCACCTACTTATTTTGGAGAACTTATTTTGGAACTACTTATTTTGGAATTTTGGAGAACTAAAGAAGAGCAGTACCAATGATATCCAATATCAACAAATTTTCCTAGAGCATAGAAGCAGTTATTCTAACTACAAAGCAATTTTTACTGATGGCTCAAAGAATCATGCTTATGTCGGGGCAGCTTTTGTTTGTGATAAAGAAATAAAGAGTAGTAAACTTCATAAGGCTGCATCTGTCCTTACTGCGGAAACTTTTGCCATTTTGTATTCCTTAATCTTTATCTTTAGGCAAAATAGCAGAAAGTTAATCATCTACTTTGACTCTCCGAGTGCTCTTGAATCAATAAATACAAATACCAGCCACGCTTTGGTCCTAGAAATTTTAAAGGCACACTTCTGTTTGAGAAATGCAGGTTATTATACACTGACTACCAATAAGTATTTGGACACCTATGCAAATGACGACATCTGCATTGCTAAGGTACGTCACCGACTCTGCCGGTATATATCGTGTAGGAAACAGCATTGGCTTTAGTCGCATGCAAGATGCCTCGCAGTTCGGAGTTCTCTGATTTCGAGAAAGGTATAATTATCGGGCATCACAAATGTGGCCGATCCTTAAGGGATATATCTAGCAATCTGAAGTACCCAAAATCGACAGTGGCCTATGTGATTAAGAAGGGGAAGGTGAGCGGTGATTGTCGGAATGTGCCCCGAGTCGGCAGACCAAAGAAACTGGGGGATAGAGACCGACGAGTGCTGTCCAGAGAAATTTGGAAGAACCTCACCTAACCGATGGCCCTCATCCGTGAAGAGTTTCAACAGGCATCCGGGAGTATTGTTTCAATGAATACCATCCATAAGGAAGCACATCTGCTTGGTTTTCATGGTCATGCTGCTGCCCATAAGCCTTTGATCACAAAGTTCAACCGCGCTGCTCAGTTAATGTGATGCAAAGCGCATCGAAATTGGACCGTAGATTAGTGGAAACGGGTTCTTTGGAGTGACGAATCAAGGTTTATCCTTTACCGTTCAGATGGCAGGGTCTGGGTCTAGCGTCTACCTGGAGAACGTCTCCTGCCAGAATGCATTGTGCCAACAGTCAAATTCGGCAGAGGTGGAATTATAGTCTGGGGGTGTTTCTCCTGGTATGGGCTGGGACCCTTGGTACCCATTCATGGTAAGCTCAATTCCGATGCCTACGGCACTATTTTGGATGACAGTGTGCTTCCTACATTGTGGCAGTTTTACGGGTTGGACCCCTGTTACTTTCAGGACGACAATGCCAGTTATCATGTTTCGACGTTAACCAAGGCTTGGTATGGTGCCAATGGAGTTCATCGAATGGACTGACCTGCCCAGAGTCCAGACATGAACCCTATCAAGAACCTCTGGGACATGTTGCATCGCCGAATTCAGGGGTGCACTACCCGTGCAAAATTGGTGAAGGAACTTGTATGTCTTCTCCAAGCTGAGTGGAAGAAAATACCACTAGCTGTCATACAAAGACTTGTGAAAAGCATGGCCCAGAGGGTCCATGCTGTTATTACCTCTCGTGGAGGCTCTACCAACTATTGATTTTGAATAAAGTTAGTTTTTCTTTTCTATCACAGATGTCCAAATACTTATTGGTAGTCAGTGTATTGCGTAATGCTGGGTGCCTGGACATGCTGACATCAAAGGCAATGAACTCGCCGATATCGCAGCAAAATCTCCTGATATTACCTCAAATGATGTCCCTTTTACAGACATATGGAATTACATCAGAGCAAAGATCTTGTCCAGTTGGCAAGAATTCTGGGAATGCCAAACTCTGAACAAATTAAGGCAGGTAAAACCTAATTTGGAGTACTGGGAATCGGAAGGAGGATGTACTACTGACTCGCATATGAATTGGTCATTGCAGACAAAGGAGATAATGAGCCTATTTGTTTCACTTGCAACATTCCCATTTCAGTCAATCGCATTTTAACCTGCTGTCCTGCTTTTAGTCAGAAACGTGAATTTTATTTTAACTCTATGAATGTTATCTTAACAGATCTCATTGGAAGAAACCCTCACATCAATCTCATAAGATTTTTAAAAGATATCTCTCTTTACCTTATGATTTGAACTACATTTTATCCTGCTCTACCTGTTGCTAGAGCATTTCTCAATCATTTCTCCATGCCCTCATCTCATTGGAAGAAACCCCACATCAAACTCATAAGTTTTTTAAAAGATGCCCCTTTTACCATATAATTTGAAGTTATTTCCCTTTTATCCTGATCTACCTGTTGCTAGAGTGCCTGGACACTTCAAAGTAATGCCTTCATCATTTCAGGTCAATTTCATCAATTCACTTGATACAGTGTGTTTTCCATCTTGAATTTTATTCATCATTTGTCTGGCGCATAATAACCCTTGAGGTTTTGTGCCATTAAAAAAATCAATCATTCAACCACACATAATTCTGAATCCAATTACTGTAATTTCTGGAAAAAAGGCCGCATCAGCGTAAATGCCGCAATAGATTAAATTGTGCGTGGGCTGTATAGATGCAAAATCTCAACCTATGTCCCGATATATGACATATCAGTTAAGAAATATGCATAAAATGAAACCATAACTCAAAAATAAATTAAAGATAAGAAATGTTGAAAATATATTTACTATCACGAATATACTTATATTTTCCCACTAAAGAAGTCCATATTTGTCATACTCATACTATATTACAAAATATGTTGCAACAATGAGACATTAAATTTGCATGACAAAAGAAAATTTTAAATTTTACAAAATTTTAAATTTTACTTACAAAAGGAATTACAGCAAACTGTACATCATAATGAAGCCATCAAAATCTGATTCTTCACTATCTGAATTAAAAAGATTTAGTAAATCCTGATCTAAGTCCAAGTCTTCCAGATCGTCACATTCATCCTCTTGGTTTTTACAGTCTCTTTATCTAAGGATATAATTTCAGCTTCTTTGAACCCTGCTATTACTTGACGATATGTTTTTACCGATTTCCACGTACTTCCTACCCACTTTGCAACTTCTTCATAAGATGCTCTACGCATTTTACCCCTTTTGGTTATATGTATGCAATCCTTCACTCATCCAACACTCCCGCCGCTTTCGGACTTCAGCTTTGAAAGATTTATTACCTGACAAATCTAACAGTTGTAAGATTTTTGTCAAACCACTAGGAATTATTGCTATGGTCGTAGACAATTTTTGACATCTGGTTTTTACTGACTCAAGTAAATGAGCATGCATGGAATCCATTATCAATAACCCTTTTGGTTGGAAAAAAGACCCCTTTCAACACTGCAAAACTTTTTTGTAGCCACTCATGCATGATTGTTTTGCACATCCAGCCGTTCTCGTTTGTACAAATAATTACGTCATTAGAAAAATCTCCCTTCAGAATAGTTTTTTGTTTAAAAATGATCATCGGCTTTAGCTTGTCACCGTTTGTGGCACAGGCTAATACACATGTAAATCACATTCTTTCATGCCCCCCCCCGTAAGCGCAGATACAGTTTTTGCACAAATTTCATCAACAGTTCTGTTTGCAGGAGAGTCGAAAGCTAACAGCATTTCATCCATATTTATTATCTGTGACTGAAGAAGTTCTTTTTTTTTTTTTTTTCCAATAATATCTGTCACATATTTGAGAAAAGATGCCTTTTTATCCTGCCAGTTCATTGGTAATTGTTGCCCGACTTAATATGTGGCCGAATATTTTTTCTTTTCATAAATCTGCTACACCAGCAAGGCCCTTCTTTGAAATCATTTATGTTCATTTTTTTTGCTATAAATTTTGCTTGTAAGCAAATTTTTACAGTCAAAATTGCCATTCCCTTTCCTCATTGCTCCTTTATCCAGTTTGCAAGGTCGTCCTCTTGATTTGGCCACCTTACAGTACCACTTCTTTTGGCTCGTTTCTGTTGTGGCATATTTTTAAGAAGTTCTTTTTCAGTTCTCCAATGTCGAATGCATCTCTCATCCACTTCAAACTCTTGAGCTGCTGCTCTATTTCCAATTTGTTCAGCATGTAAAATTACATTAAGCTTAAAACCAGCAGTATAGCTTTTGTGCCGTTTAGGTGCCATTTTCAAAAAATTTCCGCTCCCTTCTTACATAAAAACTATCCAACGAGTACTTGTACCAAACTGATGGGATCTGTATCTGGCAGGATGCCAAGAAAAATCGATTCATCCTGAAAGGGAAATACATCAGAGTTCGTTATTGCGAGGCAGGTGGAGTCGTGTCCGCCTTTGAAAAAAATTGCAGAAAAGGCAGTTGTGGGGAGAGGATGGGTCCTGGAAGATTCATCGAATGGCAGAGGAGAGAAACTATTCAAAATGATGAGAATGGTGATTTGAAAGGGGGAAGATATAAATGCAGATACAAAGAGCCATAAAAAATTAAGTATTATTGAGAAAATTAAGTCCACTTTTAATCATATTTTTAAACTTTAAGGTGTGGGTTTTAAGTTATGTTCTTTTAGAATATTTCTAGGTAATGCAAATCTTTTTCCTCTTCCACAGATATCTAAGATCGTGCAACGAGTGTTGAGTTTTTCTGTGACTGATCCAGTAATGAAGTTTGTTGTTGGTTTCGAACTTATTCTGGAAGCATCTCAGGTGCTATGTTATTTTGAATCATTGATTGCTTTAATGTAATCCTTAATTTTATGTGAGGAATGTGTGTGTGTGTATATAAATTTATACTTCTGTATTCTAGCTGTGGGAACAAAATGCACATAGTGGAGTATCTTTGAAAACTGAAATAGATGAGCTCACAAAGACTATCATAGAGTGCAGAGCAATGGAACTTAGGTATTAGAATTTATATGTTTCATGTATAGTACCACTGTTAAAATCATTCTGTAACTGAAGATAGAATTTTATTTTCTTTATTTACAAATTTGTGAATTATTACAGTTGTTGGAGCAGAGGACTGGATTGTGTGATTCGGAAACAGTACTACAATAGCTCCAAATGGTGGTTTTTAATGTTTCCAATATTTTCATCTTCAGTCAAAGTAAGTTTTTAAAACTTTAATATGTAAAAATTCCTGAAAGATATATGTTATGTAATGTGTATGCACATGTAATTTTCAATTCATATTCATTAATTTTTTAATTTTAAATCTCAAGGAACTTTAGTTTCATTATGTAGACTTACACTAGCCATAATTACAATATAAAAATAATTTATGTGTAGCACATAAAATTGTGTAGTAGATATAACTAACGTGCAGAACGTCATAACGTGGCAGAAGCTATGTTGTTTATAATCTTTCATTAATTTCACTAACAGAATAAAAACTGTATTTGTGCACATGAGCATGTGAACCCCCCCCCAAATGAAAGAATAAATTGATTAACAAAATAAATGAAATAATATTTAATACATTTCCAGATTTTTATGAACTTCCAGGATGAGTTTCTCAATCCCATCTTTTAATTGGGTGGTTAATGTACTGTATTTCAGGTTACTATAGCATAGAGCACGTGGGTTTTCCTCGAACACATGTGTAATTGAAGAAATGCCCTTGAATATGGCAGTTTATTGGGTGTAGAAGCAAGGAAGGCAGGGAAGGTAAAAGCACCGCTGATACTATTCCATGTGTGTATCCTCAGTGTGCAGAGCTTGCATTGTTAGCAGTTATCTCATACGAATTTTCCCTTGGCCCCTGAAATAAATTTATTAATAAATTTAAAAAAACAATACTAAACTTACTTTCAGTTTTTTGTCAATTTCCAGAATTATTTTCTCCCTTCCTCTCCTTTTTAAGTATACTAATACAGTACAAAGTCTGTAATCCGGACATCCATTATCCGGAATGATCTGAATCCAGACCTCAAAGCCACAAACTTTTTTTTGTATACTTTACGCATGCGCGTAAAGAATGTGCATACATTGCGCGCCCTATACTTCCACAGTTATAAAACCTTGGTTCTTTACTCTTATTAGATATAGTGCAGGCTTTATTTTGTGTGTTAGTATTTAAATAACCCTTATTCTTCCTATCATGAATGTGGATTTTCTCATAAATCTTTAATTTCTCTTTGAATTCAGAAATACTACACCCATACAAAATAATTTTGTTACTACTCTGATCGAGTATCCCATTGATCACATAATCAAGAATTGATGAATCATCAACAGAACCGCAACTGGCTATTTTACGCATGGCAATTAAATATTCGGAAAGGGATTCACCAGGTTTTAAGTGTCGTTTAAGTCCAGACATAGTCAAAATGAACCGAATTTTTTTTCTATTTGGCACGATATTATTTGAGTAATCAGAGCAGCTTGGCTTAATGATTTGTTTCTCTAACCATTCCAAAATTTGTTTATCAATTTCACGCTGCTGTGTGGGGGGGGGCGTCGCGGCACTCAATGAACTGGAAGTTAATCTGTCAGCACTATCCTCATCTTCAGGTCAGATATTTTCATTTTTTGGGCTTATAATTAAGTATAGTAAGTAAGTGTAGTTTTTCATCTCGATGTACTCCATCTTTGATATGATTTAAATCAATTTCCTCGTCATTATAAATATCACGATTACACATCAAATAGTTTTCTGGTTGCAATTTTCTAATTTCGACTATGCATAATGGATGCTTTACGCATGCGCACATTGAAAGAAATGCTTAATAAAGTAAACAAAAAAATATTAAGATTTTTTTTTTGTAAAATTTGATACCCTTTAGATCATAATAGCTCTTTATTTCATAAATGCGGTTCATAATGCGGTTTCATATTTTTAATTGTATAATTTCTGCATGCCATCTTACCAGATTTAAATTGATGATCTATAATCCGGAATCGCTGAAGTCCTGACAAGTCGGAATTATGGACTTCGTACTGTATGTAGCTAACATACTATATTGCACGGTAGTATAGCACAGAGCACTTGATTTTTGCTCGATTACAAATGCGATCAAAGAAATCTTTTGGAAACCAGTTTATGAGCATAGATGCTACAGAGGAGCAGAGAAATCCAAATGCCCAATATCCAAAATGATCTAATATCCAGACAACTAACCAAAAAATAAATGAAATAATGAAAAAAATTCTCTCCTTTCCTTTTAAAATCTAGGAATAGAAAAAGTAATGCTAAATAAAAAGAAGCACTTGTCATAAAATACAATTTTTCTCCCATCTAAGTGAGATTACTGCATGTCACTTTCAAACACCTCCAGGCTAATGATTGACATTGATATTAGTCATACTTTTGGATTTTGAGTGGTTATGGGGTGCAGCGCTACATATTTCACTACCGTGTGTCACTAAATTCTAAAAAATTCAGCTTTCAGTGCCTGTCCTAAATTCTAAAATTTTTGCGAACCCCTAAATTCTGCTGCCTGGTGTGGTCACACCTGTTCTGACATTGTTGGGTGTTAGCATTCTTATGTTTGATCTAAATCAGCAGGTCTCAACCTTTTGACTAACGCATACCATCTAAACAAAAATTGAAAACCTTTAGTACGACCACTACAGAGTACTACTACTCTTGAACAAAGCTCAGATCACATAAATTTACGAGTGCTAGAGAAAAAACTCATTCAGGATGTTGGGTTTCAATTTTTGAATTTAGTAGTTAAAAATACTTTACTTCTTTGCATACCACCGGTTGAGAACCCCTGACCTAAATAATAGTGAAGCCCCAATGTTACTATGCTTTCATGTTAGATTTAAACTAATCCAAAATCTGGAATTGGCAGTGGATCTCAGACTTTATTACGCTTTTGAAATTAAAAGCTGGATTTTAGTTCAAGATTAAAATGTTTGATTTTAATAATCAGTAATTGTTGCCAACAAAAAATGGGGTAAGCAGGCGTTTTTTCAAAATCACTCAGGCCAATCTATTGATGTCAGTATTTTTTAATATACTGACATGGTGGGGTTTCATATATTAATATATTGAGTTCTTTCACTATAGCTGATCCTTATAAGTTTAACTTTACATGTTGATACATATGAACATGCTTTCACAGACCATCGGTGAACTATTATATACATTAAATGAATTCCTTAATATTTTCTCTTAATTGACATTTTAACTTAATTTTTATGGGTTGTAACTGAGAACAAGAAATTCATTCAAAAATGTTCCATATTTGAATCTTCAATGATTTGCTTTTAGCGTTATGTAAATAATTAGTCAATAATAGAACTGTATTGCTAAACATTGACGTTCTTTCATTTCACCCTAACATCAGTTTTAACCACAGAACAGGTATTTATTCATAATTTCATTAAAAAAATTTTACTTAGTTTTTTGTTATTTTTTAAATATATATGTTATTTAATGCATTGAATTATAATTTGTCTCTTTCAGAGCACTGAAAAAGGAGAAACAAAGATGTCTGTGATAAATCTTTTGCAGCAGTGTTTGGAAGATTCTCCATTGGGTGAATTTCCTGCCAGATTGAGCATACTTTTTACATTCTTACTTCAGTATAGGATCTCGAACTGCAGTAAGTGTATTTCATTGATATCCAAATTATCAGAAGTTATAAACATTGCTTAGGAATAGAAATGAAAGGGATCTATCATTTAATATTATAATTTCAATTATCTTTTTAATAAATAAAACTTGTTAACTAGCAAAGGGAAGTCATAACCCCTGGTTGAGTTTGAACTGTAAGTTTTGCCTATACATGAAATGTTTTCAATAAATGCATTAAAAGTATTTCTGCAAATTTACAGCAATTTGAAAAATAGTGGATAAAAAACTGTAATTATGAGTAACCCAAAAGTTAAAAAAAAAAATTAAGTATTTAATGAATATATTAAAACAAGGTATTAATCTATTTTACTACTATAGCATAAATGCATAACATAACTACATATAAACATGTATAAGTTAAAAATCATTTTGATACATACTCTTCCAGATTTCACATGGGGCTGTAGCCCACCACTGGCTAAGTGTAAGGATTATAGTAAGCAGTAAATTTACTGAAAACTGGTAGTTAACTTGTTTCTTGGCTTCTGATCCCAGCAGACAGGTTGGCTATATGCATGGTTTTTGTAGTTTTCCCCATATGTAATGTGTGTAGAGCCATTTCTCCGTAGAAATCCTCCATGAAGGCATTCTTACCCTTAGGTAGATAGCTTATGTGTGTACAGATAGTGCCGTAATCAAATAAAGCGTACCAAACTACATGGTGTCATCAGCACTGTGAGGAATGTAAACGAACATAAAAGGTAAATTATATCTGTACAAAATTAACTGAATGCTGCTGTAAAAATTTCTTAACTGTCTCCAGTTGCTAATATTGTAGTGAGCTTAGGTATTGGGGATATCTGCTTAAAACCTCATTTGCATGTACCATCTTAACAGTTTTTCAGTCCAGTAAATTTTGCACTGGAGTAAAATGTGATCTCCCATACTTCTCAGCTGTCTTTCGATGTTTGGCATAATTCTGTAGATGTTAACAATAAGTTTGAAGTGAAATATACCTAGTTATGCTGGAATTACTCCTAAGAAAAAGGAAAATCTTAACATTCGAAGAAAATATAAATTAAGGCATTACCTATAAATTTTTATGAGGATTGATAAGGCATGATTATAGTAGTATGTAGGCCTCATCAAAGTAATTATTTTGATGATATTTATCTTTACATTTTAAAGTATTCATATATTGTGATCAGTGCATGAATATTTATACCTATAAAAAAGAAATATTACACATTATTGTTTTATTTTTTGGTATGTGTGTAATTTTTTATACGTGCAACAGCTATAGCATTTTGTATATTATAAACCATGATAGGCTGATAGTTCATATTGTAAACAGATAACCTGCTCTGTATTGGTCAATTTAAGCCAGAGTTAAGATTTTGCTGCAAAATTTCTGTTAAGATAAAAAAATCTGCATATAACCCAGATTTAAAATCATTCTATAAATTCAGTTATATATTGTCAAAAGTGCAAAAAATTAGTTGCCTAACTTTGCTAGATCTATCTGACAAGCTGGAGGTAAGGGCCAAGTTTTTCCTTGCCTTTTCAGTAATAGAGAAAAAAGTACTTGTCTATCACTAAAAGCTGAAATGAGAATAGTCTTTCTCAATTCTCCCAACATTTGGATGCATATCACGTAGGTGCTAAAATTCGCCTGCTTTGACAGGTGAATTTTACTGTGGTTTTTCAGATGGTTAACCATCCTCAAGCAGGCATAAAAGAGTCCTCCCTCACGTGTGAATTCCTTCTATATGGTGAAACCTGTCTAAACAGATAAAGGACTACTTACTCTGATAGTTTTAATCTAAAAGTTTTTTTTTTTTTTTTTTTTCCGTGAACATTATAACAAACTGATGGCTGCTCTTCACTTTTTTCTCAATGAAAAGTACATTCAGTAATGAAAATGGTCATCCAGTCATTCAAAAATGGTGCATCAGCAATGTTATGAACAGAACTGAAGGTGATATTATCTAGAAGGTGATGATTATGTTAAAGTTGAAACAGAGAGTCCTGTTATTCATGCAGACTGCCTCCCGCTGAAAGTCATCTAGGAACTGTTAGAAATATTTCAAGTCAAATACCGTTATTGAGAAACTGGATCAATGCAATTAGGATTTATTGAAATAAAGTAGTAATTTTTTAGTTATTTAATTTATAATATTTAAAAGGATGCATTTAATTTCCATATTTGTGATTAAATTATTTCTAAATCCCATAAACCAGCTAGGGAAAACATTTGTCTTTGTTTGTAATCTCATCCATCAAAATCATCTTATATGCAGAAATATACAGTAAAGTTTTGATATTCATAAATGCTGTACAATACTGTTTAAGTATTTATTATTTATTAAAATGTGTTATAATATGCGTAGCATTCAAAATATATATTAATCTAATACAGTCAAAAGTCTTTAATCCGGACTGGTCAGAACTTCGGTGATTCCGGATTATCGGTTTTTCCGCATTATAGATCATCAGTTTAAATCTGGTAAGATGGCATGCAGAAATTATAAAATTAAAAATATGAAACTGCAATTTATGAAATAAAGAGCAATTATGATCTAAAGGATATCAAAATTTACAAAAAAAAAGCTTAATATTTATTTGTTTACTTTATTAAACATTTCTTTCAATGTAAGTTGTTTAAGTTGCTTCATTTTATGTGCTAATACTTTCTCTTTAATTCTATAAACAGACATAATTTCTTGTTCAGTTTACAAAGTTCCGCTGTTCAAGTCCTGTAATTGCTGTGCCGAGAATCCCGACTAACTTGCAATCGAAATTTTTTCGCTTTCACTAACCTCTCTCTGTCACTTTCTTCATGCCTTTATTCATTTTTTGCAGCAATTCCACTTTTTGTTTGATGGACAATGAAACATACTTTCGCTTTGTAGATCCTTTGGCAGCTCCAGAATTGGAAATTCTATTTGACATAATCGAAAGTTCAGGCTTACTTTTATAAAATTGCTCTAACAGTCTGCAAAAAATAATAAGTTAGATCGAAGATTATGGAACAACGCAATCTGCAACATTAACTGAAATAGATAATTTTAACTTAGCTTATACCGTCCGTTATACATTAAACGCATTATGCGCGTTAAATGTAAACACATTAAACATTACATTGAATGCATTATGCGTTTATGCATGCACAGAAAGTTTGTAGCTTTGAGGTTCGGATTATAGATTATTCCGGATTATGGACGTCCGGATTAAAGACTTTTGACTGTATTCCTTTTATCAAGACTTCTGCTCAGCAATAAGCTGTTTCTAGTGTGACAAAAATTATTTGTAGATTTCCATTCATGCAGTTAGCACTCCTGAACCGTATGTAATTCAAAGTTCAGCTGTCTATATAATTGCAAAATATTTAATTGTAACCATTGCATAAAATGTACAACCATTCAAATTGATTACATTGTTGTAGAAAATGAAATGAATGTTTTTGATTTTCTGAAGTAAAATATAAATTTTTTGAGAGAGAACCGTCCTCCCCCCCCCAGCTCGCATGTCTTTTCTCATTTCTGTATTTTGGTTTTTAAGTAAGGTAAATTTATCAAAGAATGTAAAACGACAAAAAGTAAAACTAAAATTTAGTGGGATGAGGCTTTTTTTCTTTTTTATTATAAACAGTACCATCGTGTTTTTCTTATATATGTTTTTTATTATCCTTTTTAGAAGATTTGGCTGAGATTGTTTACAATGTATATTCATATTATATACAGTTTTTACCAAGTGTTAGTAATCACATTGCTCAGTTAAGAAAGCCGATAGAAAAAGAAATGAAGGTGAGTTTATCATGCTGCATTTACTAAAACTGCTTTTTCCCTTTAAAATATAAAAAACTAATATTCATTTATATTTTCAGGATTATGTAAAAATAGCTCGATGGAATGATATGAACTTCTATTCTGTGAAACAGTCTGTGGAAAAATCGCATCGTTATATTATAAAGCATATAAAAACATTTGAGGTGAAGTATCTTCTTTTATAATGTTATGAAAATTTGCTTTAAATTTCTGAGAAATGTTTAACATACTATTTGTACTTTTTTATTTTGTAAATTTTTGAAAATCAACATAACTGTATTTTGATTATTAATACAGACTATTCAGTAATTGTATGAAAATAAATAAATAAGGTCTAAAATTAGTATGAGAAATAAGTAAAAAGATATTCCTCATATATAATGTTTTTCCTTTCCTTTTTTAAATATTTTTAAAGTCTATATTTCAGGCTACTGATATGGATATGTACTATAGATAGGCTTATTTTGTCATGAAAATGTATTGTACATATGCATGCATCTCGTATAATAACTGTATAATAATCGAGAAAGTATTTCTCTACCTTTTATACTTTCTTGATTTGATTCACGCTCTTAATTTAACACTTTATGAGTAAACACAAGCATTTTGATTATGACACAAGCATTATCAGATTTTATAAAACAGAGGCAACCTTAGAAAAGTCTAATTCATCATTTAAAAAGAATTTTTGAGTTTCTTTAATAGGAGAAACATTAAAAGTGCTAAAGACAAGATAATTAGCAAACAGAAATTGTAATTTTTTAATATAGTGCATTTTTAACTATTTCAGAATTTTTTTATTATTTTATTGCCATTGGCACACAAATAATGGTCTATCTCTTAGTACTTTAAATGATCAACAAGTCTCAGAAAATCTCATACGAAGCCATTCGAACTTATTGTTTTCATTAACAGTCACATTGTTATAAAACATTTTATTTAGTGTTTATAGTGTATGTGTGTGTGTGGGTGTGATTATGGCAAAGCCTCGAGGGCTATCTGCCTAAGAGGAGGGATGCCTTCGTGGAGGACTTTCTAAGGGAAACTGGCTCGTATACACGTTACACATGGGGAAAACCACGAAAACGCCCATGCAGCCAGCCCATTCGCGGGATTCGAACCTTGGACCGAACTACCAGTGTTCAGCGACTTTACCGCTCGGCCGCTGGTGGGCCCTATAGTGTATGTGAGATAATGCCATAATAAAATTTATCTATATGTACTTTTATAGTACTAAATACATTCTTAATAATATCTTTTATTTCCCTTTTGTTTTTGTTTTTAACTCAGGATGCGATTAAAAAACCAGCCAGGAACTTTTTTACTCTTCCTTCAAAAATGAATGAATCTGAAAGCAGCCCTTGGTCATTGGATATAAAGCCTGAAGATTTCATGTCTTCTCAAACAAAACTAGTAAGTCAATTTTTAAGTTTGGAAAATAACATGTGTTTTAATAAATTGCTTATTTGCATAATAGTCCCATTTGCCTGTTTTATGTGAAAAGGACATAAATATTTTGTTTTATAAATATCATTTCCTTGTTTGTTAAATTTGAACTGAAAATGTGTTTTATGAATTATGTAAAGTGTGAAAATGTGAACTTCTGTGCATGATCAATATTGTCTAATTGAACAAATTTTGCCTTAGTGTTGTCATGTGATGGTAAGAAAGGGGCCCCGTATGAAATTTGTCAAGTTATTGAACATTTCAAATTCATAGCTTATGCATAACATTAACTTGAATAAAATTCAGTAAGTTATTATGACGTTTAAGGTATCTAGCAGTTTTATTGTTGTAGTCTAGATGTAATATTATTTTTATTTTTCACTTGTGTTCCATTAATCAATTTGTAAAGCTTGCTAATTAATTTTCTTGAGGAATTTCTAAAAAGTCATTAAAAAGTTTCTAGCAATGCAAAGAAAGAAAACACATTTTTATTGACACTAAATATTGATTCATGTTTATTTTCTGTTTTTGCTATTCCTTCAGATTTTAACCATTTGTATCATTACTTTCAGCCTAAGTTAGTAGCTGAACGAAAGGAAACTTTGTTCAGAAAGTTACCTATGTATCACAAGAAAGCTAAGAAATTGTCTGAAAGGGTGTCTAACAATTTCCCAGTTATTGATCATATTAATAGATTAAATGACTTGTGTGGTAAGTTTCATAGGAAATTTCATTTTCTTTGATTTTTAGGAGAATTTAAGTTCTGTGTCTTTGATTAATTAATTATTATCCAGCATCCCATGTTTCACCGAAAGCAGTTCTACTGTACTGTACTTGGGTATCTTTCATTCAAAGCTTTTTATCTGTTTAATTACGGTTCAAAATTCATTTATTCAATAATTGTGCACACTTAAGTTTTATATAGATTTATATAAATGTATAATAAATGTAAGAAAGACTCTGAGACTGAAAAATGCTAATACTTGAGCAAATGTTTTTAATTGAATATTGTATATCCATGGGGTGATTAGTTGTTGCCAGTAGAGGGCAACAGGTGGCTTACTATGCATCTGCGGATGCAAATGTTGTTATTACTCATAATAAGAGACCTAATGAGTGCTGAGCCGGCAGACAGAAATCTAATGGACAGTGCTGCAGATGGCAATCCAAAGCAGTGCTATGAATGTAACAAAAACATTTTCTCAATGAGCAAATTCTGAACTACAGAATGTTTGAGCTGTTACACAGTCAGCTTTGTGAAACTGGTTTCTTCGATGCCATGTACAGTAAGTTTGTCAAGGGACGTCTGTGTTACATTTGGACACAAACTCATCTTGAAATTTGTAGAAGATAAAAATCAACTAAAAGAACTGCTGCAGATTGCATAGGTCTGAGTTCATCTTAATATTTGGAGATAGTAAAACAAAGAATTACACCCATTCCATTTTCAAAGAACTTAAGCTTTGATAATGGAAGATTACTTGCTGTATGTGGCATTCAGCCAGTGGTTTTTGCTTCAAAGTGCATTATAACCAGACTTCCTGGCTCATGTGCTGTTCACAGTCAAGTAAATTTTTTATACATGAGGTGTTTTCAATGTGCATAATTGTTTTGCAGAAAGCACCCACACACTACACATCTATGCAAAAGTGTGGGCAGGTATTGTGAATGACTTCTTGTTTGGCTCACATCTATTACCAACATGATACAGCTTAAAAATGTTCCAATTGCCATTTCTAATCAGTTATAATTTCAGCATGATTGGGACACTATCCCATTTCACTAGTGATTTATGTAATTACTTGGATGCCACTTTTGGAGTGCAATGGATTAGCCATGGTGGGCCGTTATTGTTCGATTTATTGAGCCTCAGTTACTTAATATTTCAAGGCCATGTATGAGAAACTTGTTGACATTGTTGAGAACTTCATCACTTGAATATGTGTGAGGAACACTTGACATCTTTGAAACTGTACATAAGTCACTCTGTCAATGCTGCCAAGCTTATATTACTGTTGGTAGATATAATTTTGAGTAATTATTGAAACCAGTTCTGTAATTAAACATTTTCAGTGATGCTGTATGTAAATAATTTAATTTTCTTTGGTGTTTTATTTTTTGGATTTGTGCCTGAATGCACCATTTATGCCCATACATTACTGTGCCAAAAATATCCGCTATAGTATGCTGGAATATACTTTGAAGTTTATCAATGAGTAGTGAATCACCCTATATATGAAATAATTAGTCATCAGAACTTTTAATGTTTAAAAATTAATAGTTTTAGTTTTATAAGTTAATTTTATTTTTATAAAAATTAACTTGTAGTCATTATTTCCAAAATAAAATGGTATTGCTTATATTAAATTATTTGTGCATGAAGACTTTTTTTTTTCCCCATTTGCCAATTTTATGCTATTCAGAGTATCTAAATGTGAAATAATTGAAGGTTCAGATTGTATTTGAATAACTTGCATGAGCCATTCTTCAAATTTTATTTCATATTCCATGTTTAATATTTTCATTTACATATTATGTAATTTTAAAATGAAGAAATTAATTTAAGATTATTGAAAACATATTCTCTAGTTTTTAGTTCATTGTGTGTGTTTTTTTTTTTTTAATTTATATCTCATACTTAATAATTTCATAGAAAATTTTTTGAAAATTTAAATACTTTCATTTTGAAGGAAACATAATTGAAGCTCTGCAAAGTGTAACGTCTGATGCAGTTAAGGTAAATTAGTCTTTACCATTCTTTATAACTCTTCTTGTTTTTTAGAAGTGCTATGATGTATTAATATTTTAGCATTATGTTATACTTTCTGCTTATAAATACATGTTATAAAAATGAATAATTTCTTTCTTTTCATTAAACTGTGAAATTTAATTTTCTAATATCGTGTATATGTGCATATCATTTTATAAATTTTGAACTTCTTATAAATTAAAGTGTTTATTTTCAATTATTAGGTATATTTGGCTTCTTAATAAAAGTTCATATTTTCTCTGGTACTAAAATTTATTGTTGCTTTGAAAATTTATCATATTGTTATCAGCCGGTTTTGAGATTACTAAAAATGTATTAGCTCAATTCTGAAACAGTCGAAGTAGTTTATATAAATGTGAACTGAATACAGTACTGTATTAAAACTGCAATTTTTCTTCTTCATTGACTCAATAGCTGAGGGTGGACTCTGTAGAAATTTTCTCCATGCATCTCTGCTTTTGTGAAACTGCACTTCTCATTTGTTCTTTCTGTAAAGTATTGCTCTACATTTATCAGGAAAAAAAAAATATTTTTTAAAAATACATATATTTTAATGCTTATTGTTATTTTTAACTGTCCACATTTTAATTTCATCAAATATTATTTTTTCACTTTTTTTTTTTTTTTTTTTTTTTTTTTTTTTTTTTTTTTAACTACTTAACATTTTACACATGTGCTTAAATATATAAGCAGTTCTTTTTTGTGAATTTTCAAATTTTCATTGCATATTGTTAACAAAGTTTCCTTCTAAATCATTTTATGATCTTTGCTAAATCTCATTTTAATAAATACTTTTATCTGTTTTGTCAATAATACTGCATATAAAAATTTGCATAATTATATTTTTGCTGCTATAGTAATTAAACATAAATTGAAAGCTGCATAATTAGATTGATATCAAACATTAATGAAATATTGAAAGCATGGATCATTATTTAGAGTATATAACTTGTCTCCTCAGCAGATTATTTTATTCACCCTTGAACATGTAAGTTTAAAACACATTATCTTGCACTAAATAGAACTTTGGTTGTGGGAACTAATTGATCTGGAATTCATCAAATATTTGTGTGTTTCAATAAATATTTTCAATTTAATATGTACGAAACAGAAGGATATTTAATGCATCGCTCACTTTTGCCATGAATTTTTATTTATTTTATCTTTAATACTTCATTTCTGATAAGAAGTAGCCCTCTTAATTCTATTGTTATTTTTAGACTGTTCTCACCAGATCAAGGGAAAAGAAACAAACGCTACTGAATATACAAACTAAAAGACAGATGCTTGCTACTTTATTTAAAAACCTGAGAGTAATGGGTGAGTTTTTATGCATTTTTAATTCAGGTTGGAATTATTGTTTTACAATGTAGAAAATAATACATGTTATATTTGTAATAAAATTATGTATTAAAATGCATAGCTGTTGTTACATGTAAACTAAAAAAAAGCACTTCACATTAAACTGTTCATTTAATGTATCTTTTTTTATTCATGGCTGAAGAACCTATCTATTATTTTTCCTGACTTTAATCATATTTGCTAATTATTAAATCTTCAGTTAGTGTTCAGATTTCACAAATTTATTCTCTAACTTCTTGAAAGATTTCTGTTGCTTCAATTGACTTTGAAATACTTCTGGCCAGTGTTTAATAAGATTTTGCAATCGGGGTATTTTTCTATTTTCCTTTTGACCATGAAAATTTCTGGTGCCACAAAATTGGCACCAAGCATCCCAATGGAATGTGTAAAGAAAGCGATCACTGTTTATTTAATTAGATAATCAACAGGTACAAATTATGGGTATAGAGCATAAAATATTTGGACATGTGACATCTCGACAGATGAAATGCCACTATTTCGAGACAAAAGTTTTTAGGGTATATATTTTCTCAAAATAAACTTACACTCTAGATTCTTTTTTTCATTTCAAATAGACAGATTGTAGATTATATAAAAGAAATACAATATAAATTAAAAGCCTAATGTTTTTTTAAAAAACAAATTGTTTAATTTCTCTTACTTTTGACAAATCTTTTGTGACAGTGTGCTAGTTTGGTGCACTTTTCTTATAGAATACTGCACCAAACTCCGTCAAATGTTGCATGATGGTTAAAAACATATCATTTAAGAATAATAAGTAGTATTTTACATTTTACTTAAAAAGAAAACTATTAAAAAAATTAGTAATATGTTTTGAAAAACATATAAAAAATAGTATTTAATATATCCAAAACTAATGGTCATAAACATTATATTCTTCCAGATGCAATTATTAAAACTTTCATTCAAATTTTCATTTCTTCCATAAATGAAATTTGACAGTAGTTTTTTTGCCAGAGAGACTTATAAAAACAATTTTAATAGTTAATAAAACAGGTTCTCGCAAAGATTGTTTATGAACATAATTTTGACCACCTGATATAGCTTTATTGTGGCCATACCAGACATCTGTCCCTTCTGAACTGGTGGACTTCCTAATGGTTGTTTACATTTTGTAATGAAAGGTTTCGGTCTTTTAAAATTTCAAAACCTGCATGAATTATATATTTTTAGAATCATCTCAGGATACTTTATTTTATTAGCTCAAAATCGAAAATTTCAAAATTTTTATGTCATATGTCCCCTTAAATAAATATAAGTTCAAGCTTTGGAATTAACTGACAGGTACAAATTTTAGGAATAGTACATAAAGTATTTAAATAAATATGAGTTCAATCTTTGAAATTAGCTGACAAATTCAATAGCAATTATTAAAGTGGTACTATTGCATTAGAAGCAGCGTCGGTTAAAGAAAAATGAGAAAAAAAACAATGCTACAATAACACAGCAAATATTGTGGCTCGAGATTTCCAGTTCTCGTTTGAAATATTATCATATGTTGTTTCTTTTTTGCCATATTTCGCCATTTTGTTTAGTACAATAGACTACATAATTTTAGTATTACCTAATCATGAAGTGGTTGCCATAAGATTTCTTCAGGACAAAGGAATAATTTATAGCAATTTACTCTATTCTCAAAATCATTCAGTGAAGTTATGTATTGCTACATACGTTCCTGCTGTGAAAAAAAAAGGATTGAGAATCAAAGCATGGTTTGAAGGTTCGCATCTTTCCTTTCTCAGTACCGTTCGTTTTATCTATCTGCATTGTCAGGAATTGTCATCAATTAAATTTTGCCAACTTTAGTTAGAAATCAGCCATAGTAGCACAGGACATTCAAATAACTACTTGAGGAAGGTATGTGCAAATAGTTTGATATCTCGCAAAAGAAATAAAATCTCCAGAACCAACAAAATCGTAGAAATCGACGAAAATCTTTTCACAAAAAGAAAAAAAAACCATTGAATATGTTCTTCTGGAACAATGAGTATTCAGGACTTTATGCCAGGGAAGCAAAGAATGTTTTCTGGTCGCCATGCCTGGTCATTGTGCTACAATACTGATGACTGCCATTCAGGAAAACATCGCAGATGGCACTATAATGTTTTCAGACTGCTAAAAAGGTAATAAGAAATGCTGAATATTTCACTGTGAATCACAGTTATAATTTTGTAAACCTCCAAAACTGGATGCCATACCCAAACTGTGCAGCAATTGGTGGGCAGTGGAAAAATAAATTTCAGCAGGGCACTGCTTCCTACCATTTAGACTCAGATTTGATCCAATTTATGCGGTGTCAGTTATATTCAAAAACTGACATTTTTTCTTTAATACTGAATGATATTTGTAATTTTATGCCACCTGTTTAGATTGAATTTCGTTTTGTTTTATTATGTGTAGTATATTCTGTATGTCATTTGTTTAGATTAAATTTCATTTTGTCATTTTTTATTTATGTGTAGAATACTCTAGATTAAAAAATTAAAAAGAAAACTGTTCTTTCCTTAAGAATTATGAAATTTTTTAAAAAATTACTTTTTACAGAAGTAATTTTTTTAGTCTTTTAAACTCTATTATTATTTCATAATTTTATACTTGGCGACAATTGGTGGCCCAAAAATAAGTGCCGCATTTTTAACTGATGCCACTTTATAGGAAAAGTGCCATTAAAATTAGCACTATTCAATGCGGCAGTGCAGTATTAGTATAAATTAACTTTGAAAATACCCCACTGCTTGCTGTTCTGTAGAAAGCTCCCTATCTCAAAATATAAGGAGAAAAATAAAGAAATAGCTATTAACTTTTTTCTTTCTTTGGAAAAATTAAACTGACTTCTTGAGGATCAGATATGTATGAAACCAAAGTGAAGATCTTATGAGCATGTTTTAATGTGGCACTTATTCATTACTGGTGTTAAATCACATTATTGGCCCTAAGGGTACCAGCCCAGAAGGGCTATTAATTTTGTTTTTGTATTTTGCGTTAAAAACTTTAAATGTCAGTTCACTTTTCAAATTGTTGCTACCAAATATTTTCGCCCTGCATTATATTTAAAAAAATTAAATAATGAAGAATCTTCATAAATGTATGTATGTTCTCACACTGTGATAAAACAACGGTACCTAGAGCCATTGAATTTTGAATAACGTAATCTTCCACCGAATATGGTCATCTGGAAGCCCTAATATGAAAATTGTTTTATTATCAATTTCATAATTTGTAAAACTTTAACGAAGTTTTGTTTAACAAACTCAAGGATTTCAAAGTGAACAATGGCAATGTTGTACAGAAAAAGCATTTTTATCTCCAGCACGCAAGACTGTGTAATTGAAATTCTCAAGATATTCTCATTTTAAAATTATTTTGCGATATTACTCTTGAATTGAACTTTATGGTTTAAGTACAAAGAACATGATATTTGATAAATAAAGATAACACAAAAAAGGTTTAAAAAAAAGTCCCTTTGGGAGTAATGTAAAATCTGAATGCTTTCAAATTTTTTTAAGAAAAAAATTATATCAATTTTTATTTATCGAAAATTTGAAGATGGGTGATGGAGAAATATGTAAGAACTAAAATCGATAATAATCATTTTATGTTCTTGGCACCCTTTAATTTTGATTTCAGTTTTTGTTCTGCAATATTATAAACAAGAGTATAGAATATTGCAAATGTCTTAAGGATCCATATAAGAATATTATTAAGCTTGCATAAAATAAGTAAAATACATGCATATAAATAAAATATTCATTATTAAGTAATAAAACTTTCTTTATGGTTTATGCCTTAACTGGATATATGTATATTTCTGCTGTATGTTGTTTTTTCCTAACCTTTTGTATTAAATAAAATATAACAAATATTATTTTTATCGCTAAAAAAAGAATAATTGTTACTCATATATATAACTAGAACTCTTTTAAAAAATTTGTTTTAGGTTTATCATTCAGGGAAGGAAAAATTTATCAAAAACGAGTAAAAATCAATGAAGTATTCTCTATTCCGGCATTTGATCCACTGTCACTACAAGTTTTGGAAATTGATTTGTGAGTCTCTGAATTATTAATTGGTTCAACATTTAAGATTTTTAAATTTATTAGATTTGTTGTTTGTTTAGTTTTTAAATATTTTTTATTAGATTTTTTTCATTGAAGCTTATGTAAATTTCATTTTGAAAGTTACTTGTGAAAGTACTCTCTCTGCCATCCTAACCATGAAAGATTTGTAATAACAGTAGGTGTATGTAGCCAAACCATAGTACTGAAGATAAAAATGAGTGCATGTGCCAATTTTGTAGCTTTACTGATTTTTGGAATTTTGATCTGTAAATCCTGTCTTTTTCCATTTGCAAATGATATACATTTAATGCCAAATATATAAATGAGGTTAATTTTATAATTTTTATTTCATAAAACCTAAATTTATTTATGAAAATTTGTAACAACATAAGCATGCTTAAAAGTTAGTATAAACTGTAATATTCTTGATTAAAATTTTCAAGCTATAATTTTAATCTTCCCTAAATTTTGATATATTTGGATGGTTATTCTTCTTTCTTTCTTTAAATATATACTTTATGTATATATTTCTTTTCATAACTGATGTCTTATGTCTTAATGTTTTGTCTAATTATTCATAAATACATCTAGGAAATTCAAAGAACTGTTGTTAAAATCATCATCTGAGACAAGCCACTACTTTTACAAAAACATTGCTCAATATGCAAATCTTCAGAAATCTATGGAATCACCATGCAAAGTAAGTCCAGAGTGATATAATGTCTAAAACTAAAGTTCAGAATAAAATAATATCTAAAATTGTTTCCTTGTTCTATCACCTTTTTTAAGTCATTAGTAAGTGACTGAATGTGAAATACTTTGTCTAAGAGTTTCATATCGCTATTGATATATTTTATTGAATTATTTATGCATCTGAGACATTAAAATAAAATTTTAAAAAAGGTACAAAAGTACATGTACTACATCATGTACTTTTGTGCATTATATTGTGCATGATAATAAATTTGTTTCATTAGAAGGCCAAATTTATCAGTGTTTTAAGACAGTGTGATCTTTTTATTACTATTATTATTATTATTATATCATTTCAGCTCTGTTTTCGTAATATTTTCTTATCATCAGAAATTCTAAACAGTGTTTGTGACAGTCTAAAAGAAACTTAAGTGTAATGTTTAATCCCCATCCAATTTCATTTAGAACTTTTTCCTTTGCATGATACTCTATTATACTTAAATTTTATTACGAAAATTGCAGTCTTTTAATTAAAAAGTTATTGTAAACAGTATCACATATATCTGTTTGTATGTGTGCTGTGTGTTTATAGCTGTATATTATTTGCATATTTGTCTAACCTGATATTAAGACTTTTTATAAAATAATAATTTGATGTTGAAAAATAATTTTTAAAGTTTTATAGCAAAAGATGGATGCAAGCTTTGAATTATGATAATGTATTTTGCTGTTAGTTTATCCAAAATGTATTTGTTTTTTCTTCAAGGACCTGACTCTTGACATGATTCATAGAATTCAAGGTTATAGCGGCCATTTAATGCAATTTATAACATTGCAGCGTCAAAAAATAGTGAAGATTTCAAAGGACGTAGATTCTGTAGGGTAAGTTTGAAAAGTTATTTTATTTCATTCTCTTTTTTAAAAAGACAGAATTTGTTCTAAAATCATTATTACACTTCTAGGTGTTTTTTGGCAACATTGTCAGCTTTTAATAAGGAGCAACAGACTTTAGGTGTTAAAAAGAATTTAACTGTACTACCCCCACAAAATGTTATGCTGGAGTGGGAAGTATGTAGCCTTTTATTTTGTCAGTTAGTTGATAATTTTATTGTTTTATTCTGTAAAGAAATACTTGTATGTTTATGATTTTAAATTGAGGCGAGAATAGAGTTTTTTTCTCGGTAATCATTTCTTTTGCCCACACCTCCCAAAAACTGGAGAATATTTTTCATAAATGCTATTAATATCATGCAGAATGATTTAATTACAAAAGTATATATAGAATTAATATCAACCAAGATTGTTAAACTAGTATTCTAACTGAAAGAACTTTCAAAATAAAACTGAAGTAAAAGTTAATACAAAAAGCAAAACAATAAACATTCAATATTTATTTAATTTTTATTCAGTGTTTATTATTTTATTTTCATATTAATCTACTTATATTGTAATTTTGTTTTCTAAATTTATGCTTTTTTTTTTTTTTTTTTTTTTTTAATTTGTGCCTTCCTGTTGATAAATCATCTAACCATTCATAGTTGATGTTAATTCTGTATAATTTATCTGTTTCTTAATATATGTAATTAAGTGAAAACTAAACAGACAAAGAATGAACTAGAAAACTGAAATTTAATCATTGTTAAAAGTAATTAAATTAAGTTAATGAAAGCTACTAAATGAACCTAGACTGAGTTGGAAAAGTAATTTGCAAAAATAAAAAAAATAATAGAAGTACAATGATAATTTTAATAAGGAAAAAGCTGTATTATTACTGTCAGGCTCAAAATTTTCAAGAAGAGTCTAACAACAATATGACACCATTTTCTGGCAAAATCAGTTATGTTTTTGTTTATTTTCAATTAGCTGAGGCACTAAAATTAATTATTTTAAATTATTTATACCTCTGAAAATTAAAAAAGCCAACTGTACATAACAAAATCTGCCACTTTGTATTTACTTCAAATCAAAATCTATAAAAAAAAAATTACCATTACACATTGATAAAATATTAGACAAATTAAATGCAAAATATGATATGTGACTGCAGATAATATCAATAAAGCTATATTTTAACAGTTTGTGTAAAGGCACAGCCCTTTCACTAAATAAAGGGTAATTGAAAATTGAAGCCTGTGTTAATGCTATTGGTGAGTAAATTACATTAATTTCATGTTAATATTTTAATTAAAAATCCGATACTTTTCTTTAAGTGTTCTTTCACTTAAAGTACCTATAGCATATTGATCTACTTCAAATATTATTTTAAGATATATTTTTCTGAAGATGGGACTGATGAAGTCTAACATTAGGAATGGAGACAAATAAATTAGCAGAGATTCATCTAAATTAACATATATTGAAACACAAAATGGCACAAGTACAGTAAATTCTACATGCTAAAGTAAAACAGTGACAACAACTAAAAAAACGTTGCCAAGAAAAAAAATATAAAAAGCATGTTGCCACACATGTTGTAAAATACAAATGGGAAATATAATCACAAATAAAAGTTATTTGCAACACTCCCCCTTGATTAAATTTCTCTCAGTCCTACACAGAACCTTTGATTGAACAAGGCTTTCGTTTGCACACTCTTTGTGAACATGTCTGCTGCATTTGAACTGGAAGGCACATACGTAAAGTTTAACAACTTCTCTTCAACCTTTTCTCTCAAAAAAAAAAAAGCCTGAGTTCAATATGTTTGTTACGCTCTGAAGTGACATGGCTAAAGAAATGGCACCCTGATTATCAACAAATATGCTTTGTGGAAGGTTTAAAAAATGTTCTCCCACATTATCTTTAAAAAAAATTTTGGAACCACAGTACTTCCTTGGCTGCATGGCACATTGAGAGGTACTCAGCTTCAACTGTTGACAATGCAGTTGTCTGCTGTTTCTTACTGCTCCATGAGACAGCTCCACCTGCTAGTAGCACCACATAGCCACTAAATGATCGTCTGTCAATCTTATCACGACCCAATCAGAATCACAAAACACTTCCCAAATTCTTTCCTGTCCTTTGGAAAGTCAGCTTTTAATTCCTTGGTCGTTTTAGGTAATGAGGATATGTTGTACACACCAGCCCAATGTTCTTGCTTGGGCAATTATTGAATTGGCTCATGTAAGTAGCAGCAAAAGCTAAATCTGGCCTTGTTCCTCCTGCTAGGTACAAGAGCCCTCCAACAGCCTGCCTATATTTTAATGCTACTTCAGTGTTCAACATGTTATCCTTAGCGGCTGTTGTATATTTCATACCTGGATCTAATGGTGTTGATGCTCCTTTAGCATCTTGCATATTGGTTGTTTCCAAGAGTTCACTAGCATAGACAATTTGGTCAAGAGTCACACAGCTATCTTCCCTTCTTATCCTAATTGAAAGAAGGTGATGTATTTCTCCCAAGAACTTGATTTTAAATGTAGTTATCCTTAAATTCCTGAATGATGAATTCTTTGCTGGACATTACAAGAAGATCATCCACATACACACCTACAATTAACTCCTTTTCTTTATTGAAGTAAACACAAGGATCTGCTCTGGATCTTGTTAGGCTCGTTGATTTCAGAAATTTATTGAGGCACATATTCCATTCTCTCCCAGACTGATGAAGTCCATAAAGGCTTCTCTTTAGCAAGCAAACTTCTCTGTGTGTTTTCTCATGCAGACTCACGGGTGGCTGTTGCATGAAAATTGTCTCACTCAGTCTTCCATTTAAATAGGCTGCAATAATATCAAGTTGATGAACCTGCCAGTCTTGCTCAACTGAGAATGCTGTCAATTCCTTCGACTTGGGTGTAGCCACGAGCAACTAAACGAGCTTTATATCTTTCCACTTGTCCATCTTTGTTAAGTTTTCTCTTGAAGACCCACTTACATTTCACAACTTTCCTTCCCTCTGGCCTAGGCACTATGTCCCAAGTTTCATTTTGTTTTAAATTTTCCAACTCTTCTTCTATGGCTAACTTCCATTTTTCTGCATCTGGACTAGTTAATGCCTCTTCTAAAGTTTCAGGATCATTCTGGAAAGCTTTCTTGGGTGTTAAGCCTTCATATTTCTGTTTCTCGGATTGTCAGCTGCACTGCATTCCACTTGAAATTCCATTTATTTCTGGTGGATTTTCTTCATAAATCTCTGAATTTTCCATGATATAATCCTTTGTCCACTTAAGCCGCTGAAATTTGTCTTCTCTTCTGGTCGAGTGTCCTTTTCTGGTATATCCTCCACCTCCTTCTTTTCCTGTTGAGGGCCTTCGTCTATTACTTTATTTTCAACTTCATCATCTTGAGATGAATTTCTTCCAGAAACTTGTTGTGGGGTGCAATGTTATAATGTTTCCAGTCATGGAAGGTTTCTCTTCAAATATGACATCTCGGGAACAGATTACTGTACTGGTTTCTTTGATGTAAATGTGGGTACCTTTCATCTCATCAATCATACCCAAGGAGATAGCCTTTAGTTGCCCTTTTGTCCATCTTTCTCCTCTTCTGAACTGGGATATGAGTATAGCAAGTCGATCCAATGATGCGCATGTGTTTTATTCTTGGTTTCTTTCCCATCATAATTCATAAGGGCTTGAATTAGGAACTGAAACTTGCCTGTCCTATTCAATATATAAATTGAAGTACTGATGAACTCTGCCCATAGGAAAGCTGGAAATTCCACTCCTTGATTCGAGTATTTGAGAGTTCTGGCCATTTCTAGATCTGTTGTTCATTCAGCACTGCCATTTTGTTCTGGTGTATATGGAACTGTGAGGCTCTGGGAGATTCCAGGCTTGTTCAAGATCTTTTGAACGGCTTTGTTGGCAAATTCTCCAACCATTCTCACTGAGGATTTCTTTAACTTTGTGCCCTAAGTTCTTAGCATGAGCTATGAAATTTTCAAGCACATCCTTTACTTCTGATTTGTGATTTAAAAAAAAAACAGTATAGAAATTTGGTGTAGGCATCTTTGAAGATTGCAAAGTAACCCCTTGTCCCCCCTCGCTACGCCACTGATCAAATACCCCCACAAATATCTGTCGAGAACAATTCTCCAGCTTTTGTAACCTGCCTTTCCTGGTTTCCAAACTTTAAATGGTGGGATTTTCCATATACACAAGGATTCACATAATTTCATATCAGACTTAATCCTTAATATTCAACATCTTTCTCTAAGAATGGCCTTTACATGCTTTTTATCTTGATGACCCCATCGTTCATGATAAAGTTGGAAGAGTTGATTCATTATTCTCAGGTCACACATGTGATGTCAATGTGAGTTTCAGGAACTAAGGTCTTTCATCACGGGCTTTGAAGAGACCCCCCACCAGGCATATTCTTGTACCATACAGAAACTATTTCGTCATCTATTTTTAAATAGCAGTCCTTAAATGTTGATTCAAGCACACTGTTCTGATTTCTATCTTGAGATGCTAACACAGAAAATAGATTTTTACTTATTTCTGGAACATACCAAACATTTTCAAAATTTTTTATTAGATTCATCCCATTTACAATGGTCATTATCTTGATGGTGCCTTTTCCAATTGCTGGTAATGACTTTCCATTTGCCACAGTGATGCTATGAGGAAGTCTATAAAGTAGTGCCTGTTATTGACGACATGCTTCGAGGCCCCATTATCAATAAACCAATCATCAGAATTCGTTTCTGCAGAAAATATTGTATCATCTACAGCTAGAAGTGTCATATTTGCAGCAACACTGTTTTTACTTACCTTGTTCGGCCCTATATGTGGACTGGGTTTCGGCGGTTTTCCATCAGCTATCCATTTCTTGCATGTTCTGACCTAATGTCCTCTCTGGTGGCAATAATTACACTTGCCATTGTTTTCTTGTTAATAGATGATTTCCGCTTAAATTCCGGATTTGCTATCAATGCTTCCTGATCTAAAGTTTCTAAAAAATTTGGATCTTTCCTTAATTCTCTTTCATGGGTGCACAATTGTGTGGTTAATTCATCTAAAGTTCTCTTTTCATCACTAAGAAGTAACCAACTCGATTTGAAAGTACGAACTGGGAGGAAGAGTATCCAATATTTTACAAATCAACAGCATTTCTGGCAGTCTGTTTTCTTCCTTATTTTTGAGCCCACTGTTCAGTTCATTCCATAGATTTTTCAATTTTGACAAATGAGCTGCCATATCATCATTTGACCAACTGAATTTGAAGAACTGTAAACATATGTTATAAAGTTGGTTATCGGACGAATCTTCGAATACTTTGTGAAGTTCCAGCCAAATGTCTCTTGCGCTGTCAAATCTCATTACCTTTTGTAAAGTGTCTTCAGTCATGGAGTTCGTAAGAACCATCATAGCGCAATTATTTGCTTTATTAAAAACCTTCATATCATCTCTAAATCTCTTTCGAATCTCTTCGGCGGCCGCATGATCAGGCTCCTCTGGCTTCTTCAGTTTTCCTTCCATGACTTCTAAAGCGTTTTCATGATAATTTAATACGAACTTAATTCTATATTTCCAAATAGGCCAATCACTTTTTCCTCATAACGGCTGAACCAATATCTTTGCAGCTTCCATTTTTGCGAACTAATTTGCCGACTCGCGTGAGGCTTAAGAACTGCCGTGTTAGGCTTACGAACTGCCGGTAATGTTTATCTCCACTTCGCTCATAAATTTCCCCGCACAGTTATATCATGCTGGGCCCATAACCTGATGAAGTCTAACGTTAGGAATGGAGACAAATAAATAAGCAGAGATTCATCTAAATTAACATATATTGAAACACAAAATAGCACAAGTACAGTAAATTCTACATGCTAAAGTAAAACAGTGACAACAACTAAAAAAACGTTGCCAAGAGAAAAAATATAAAAAGTGTGTTGCCACACATGTTGTAAAATACAAATGGGAAATATAATCACAAATAAAAGTTATTTGCAACAGGGACAGGATTCCGGAAAAATTTTTATAGTTCTAAAGGTTCTGTGAGTCGACAAAGTGTGAAGACCATTGATATATATAATGAATATCCAACTGATCTGAGTTAGTTAGTGTAAGACAGGAAGAGTAGATATTAACCCGTAACTGGGGAGGTGCAGTCTCAGAGACCACTACAGGTGTTGTTCCTATCACCCCTATTCTATATTTAGTCTGATTGAGTGGCTTCTCCTGCTAGCTTCTCCTTTTGTGACCTTGATAATTCTCACATATTGGCTAACATTTTTTGCACTTGCTTCATAGTGAAATTCTACTCCATTGTCTGAGAGCGGTGTGTCAGACCGCACCTCCCTCTCAGTGTCATGATTTTTCTGTCCCAGGGCGGAAACATGGCTCTGAGACTCGGTCCGAAGAAATATCATATATCCTTCTAATTTGCGTTATGCAGAAGTGCTTCAAAGAATTCTTGGATGAAGTGGGAAGTGAATTTAGTGATGAAGATTAATACCAAGAACATTTTGCAAATGAAAGTTCGCATTCCACGACATCAGAATTTTCTGAATCTGACAATGAAATGCACTGAACCAGGAGACTGAATCCATTTCATCTATAAAATATTATTATGAGAAAAACCACTTCAAGTGGTCATCTACTGAACCTCAACGAAATGTGAGACCTCCCGTGAAGTGTGATAACTATTCCCGGCTCATAATATTTCATCTTCTAGGATTAAAAGCATATGGAAAATTGGGTGAAAATACGGATCCTAAAAGCGTTTGGGAAGTCCTTTTCACAAACGAAATATTAGAGAAAATGAAAGAACTGAAAACTTTGTATTTATGCGTAAGTTGTAAAATGCCAGTTTGTGTGGTATGTACACAAAAAATATGTCACAAATGGGCACAAGAATATGCTGAGTAAGCTGATATCTTTTGCAAGAATGCAATGGTATTACTTATAGTAAGGTACTGTCATTTTTCTTATGTTTCGTACAATATTTGTGTTTTTCATCTGAATGTATCTATCACATGTAAAATTAATGGAAAATAATTATTATTCATAAAAAAATAATAGTTATTCTGGTTTGTTTTGCATAATTTACATTTGCAAGTGGTTTTTCATAGAAAAAGTTCATGTTGTGGAAAGATGTTCCTAGTGTTAATTGATTTCTTTGTAATTTTTTTTTTTTTTTTTTTTTTTTTTTTTTTTTCTGTTCGAAGATAAGTGTTTATAAAATGTATGGGTAAAATAAAATTTTAATATTTTGATTAGAACATTTTATTTAAACCATAATGAGATGCGGTGTCTTTGACCTCATGTCCCCAGTTATTTTCCAATATTTGACCTTCCCTGCTGCAGGTTAAATGGCAGGATTAAAAATCACCAAGAGTAACCTAGTTTTACATTCCTCTGGGTCCAAGAATGTGTAACAGTAATTTTTTTATAGATTTCAGCTTGTAGTAAGTATATTTCATAATGGCTGATTTCATTTCCTTTTGCATTTTGATGCAAAATAAATTTAATTAAATGGGAGTTTAATTCATTCCAGATTGTATAAAATCCTTTTTTTTTTTTTTTTTTTCCAATGCCACATACAGAAGGTCCAACTCCTAGGTGATGCCAATTACCCCTTTTGGGTAGAGTTCATGTGCTGCATGCTTGATGCCACACAAAATGATTCATAGTTTCCTGCCACTGTTTTATTATCAGATGAAGCCTGCTTTACAGGAGATGTGGTCAAAATGCATAATGCACATATGTGATTGTCGAAAAATCGCCACAGTACTGTCTTATTGAAAGTGCAACACAAGTTTGTTATTGACATCTGGTCACGGATTCTTGAAGGTCATCTTTTGGGACCTTACTTTCTTCCCTAAAGCACAAATTTCCTTGTTTTCCTACAACACGTTCTCCCAGATTTTGTGCAGTGAATAATAGCCACTGTGTTCCAGATCATGTAATTTATGCATGATAGTATACCAGCACATTTTGCGATTGTAGTGCATAATTACCTTGATGCTACATATCCCGGGAGATGGGTTGGATACAGCAGATCTGTCGCTTGGCCTCCATTGCTCCCTGGACCTCAGTCCCTTGGATTTCTTCTTCTGGAGCCACCTGAAATCGGAAGGACCTAACTGCATGGATCATCATCGCTTTCGCAGACATCGGCAGCACACTAGATGTGTTTGAACACACTGGATGTGTGAAAAGATCTCATCATCTCCTTTCTGATGTTGAACTTTAATCCTGTTTTATGTCAAATAAATATTTTTCTACTAATTATTGGCCCTTTTTGTTCCACTCAATGTCACAGCCTTCATAAGTACTTTTGCAGTTTCCTCCCACAAAATAAGGTTTATGACCTCATGTTCTGTGGCAATTTGTTATCCTCTTAATGCCTACTATCACTTCTCTAAATTTGTTGGTCAAATTCTCACAACACCCTGTATATATATATGTAATATGCATATTTATTTATAACATTGTGTGAACTGTGCATTCTAAAAAAATATGTTTTGCTTTACTACAGCAGTTTATTTATTGTTTCATTTTGGTAAATATCAAATTTTAAGAAATATTACCTGTATTAAATATAAGCTCATTATAAAAGTTTGTCTATTTGTAATGTAATAAAATACAATGACTTGCAATACAAATTTAAGTATGTTATTAGATTAGTATTGGAGCTACAAAAGATAAATCTCCGCCTTAATAAATAAATAACAAACATAAATCTACAAAAGATAAATCAAATATATCATCACCTCGATAGCTGAGTATAGAGGAAAACCATTATAAAAACTAGAGTGATAATATTTGTTCAAGATAGTGTAATTCCTTTTTGCATGTAAAAGAAAATGGGTGACTAGTCTAATGCTTTAAAATTTCTTCTGTAAATATTTATCCAGTTTCTAATAATTGTAACACATATGTATCAGTGCATTAATTTATAATGTGTTTGAAGCTTATTATGCTACATATAATGTTTCTTCTGAAGAGTGTGAAATTTTTTTTTAATATATGTATATACTTTTAGGGTCTTTTGTGTAATTACCTAGTGCAGTTTATAGTTTCTGTGGGCCAATTTAGAGCACTGATGGAGTGTGCACCTTCTTCAGCAGAAATGTCTTCTGATCTCTCAGTTATTTCTTCACAATTATCAGCCAATCCATTACCGTCTATTGATAAAAAGAATTCTATTTGGTCTGGAATATCGACAGCATATGATCATTGTGCAACAGATATTAGAAAGCAATTGGTGCTTCTGTCAGATGTGCTTAATACTACTCATGTGTATGGAACATGGCACCAGTTCTCATGGGTTGGTGCATGTTTCACTTCAATGCAGTCTGCTGCAAGACAAATAATGTCAGTTGTCAAAGAAACTGAAAATGCTGAGAATTGTTTCACTAAAAATTTATCCTCTTTGTATTCAAAAATTTGTCAGGAGACTAAAAATGTAACGAAGTCTTGTGCCATGATTGTGCAAGAAGCAGAAACAAGTACATCTAGGACTAAAAATAAACAGGATCGGATTCTTTCTCGCTTGTGTCAAAAACTCACAAAAGAAGTTCTGTTAGCATTTCAGGATATGGTTAAATTGTGTCTCCAGAGTGATGACAATAATCAAGCTGAAGATATTGATGTAGTCTCTGAGAATTTGTTTACTGTTAGAATCTCTGCAAGTATTGATGAAATTGAAAGATGTCTTCGCATTGAAAATATCAAGGAAATAGTGAACAAAATAAAGAAACACATTGGTTTGTTCCAGAATTCTGTTGAAGATCTCAAATCAATAGATGATAGTTTAAGGTATGTATTTATAAGTATTATTTTTCTGAACATTTAAAATCATGTCCACAGAATTTAGAGCTAGAGTTTAGTTTTAATTAATTATAATTATTTTATTATGTATGCTGCTCATAATGTAATTATGACAGCAGAATATATGTATGTACTGTAGCTACATTTATGAACATCATACGTATTATTGATTCAATTAATGCATTACAAATGTTTGTTTAAATCAGCATTATAATTTTGTTGGTAAAAATGAGTTTTGCTGTAAAGAAAGGGAGGGAGAGAAAAACTCTTTATATTGACTTGTAAGTAAAATTCAACTTCAAATAATATATTAATTTTAACAAAATGTGTGTAATCTATCTTTAAAATTTATGCTAATCTTAGATTAAATTTTTGCCCAATTTTAAAACTTTGGTTTGTCTAGAAATGATTATGTTTCAGATATAGCTGGAATTCCACATTTTTCACTTTTTACTTTATCAGATCCTGAATTTCTGCATTAGTAAAATTTTAAATTCATTATCTTTCTCAAATTTTGTTTTTAAATATCAGTTGAAATTTTCATGACAATAAGGAAATACGGTAGCCACTGATCTACTAAGGGCCCAAAAAAGCATTCTTTAGAGGAAGAGCGAATCATCATATGAACACACACATTAATTGCACATACATTAGTGTAGTGACCTATCCAAAGTTCTTAAGTGAAGCACTGATAAAAGAGAGTAATTGTTCTTGAAATAATTGTATATTTATTGGATACATTACTATTCTTGGAGGAAACCAGTTGGTCAACAGTTATGTATGGATAGATCTAAATATGTATTGATAAAAAATTATGCATCAGAAGATCAAATAAATAGAATTAAAGATAAACAGCAGTTTTAAAAATGAAACCATAGACAAAAGTAAAAAATTTTAAATAATCCATAACTTTTTATTGAGAAAAAGAAAATAACTTTTTTATCTGGCTGCTTTATCATTCTGTTCTCCTTCATTTTAATAAATATGTTAAGTTGTTCCAAAGCAGGAAAATTTTCTGCTCGCATGTATTATATCTGCAAATGCTTACTCTGTTTGAACTCAAACAATTTCAGGTTTTTTATAAATGTGAAAGTATATCCAATAATAAAACTTTTATTCTGTAAATATAGAATGTGCTAATTGTATTCCAAAAAGAAAAGTGCACTTAAAAATCTTTGCCTGAGTCAAATTTAATGGGATGAATGCTGCTTTGAGAGTTGAAACACCTGCATTCATTGCTTTTTCTAAATTAGCAAATAATTTTTCATGTGTCATTTCAGAGCATGTAAAGTTTCTGTTGAACTAAGAAATCAAATAGATAACTGCTTGTCTTAAACAGAGGAAAATTTCTGTTTGACATATTTAAGCTAAAACAAGGTAAAAAACAAAGTACCAATTATTGATAAACTGATGAAATCTATTTTAACTTGCTTCCCATCGGATTCACTGTTGAAAGTGCATATAATTATGTGGGTGGTATGACAGAATATAGGACGTCCTTGAACACTGACAGCTTAAATTAGTGTTAGTCAACCTGGTCCCTATCACCCAGCCTAGTGGTAAGGAACTTAATGTGCATTCCACAGCTTTCATGGTGGGCAGTAACAGAGCAACCAAACAGCTGTGCAATTATTTATTAATTGACTAACTGTTGACTAGTCATGATCAGGACAGCAGTCAAATTCTGTTACAGGGTATTTGTAATGGGACCGCACTAAACCTCTTTCACGACTGCCTGGTCCGCATCCGCCTGATCCTGCTTGACTAATGCCAGGAGACGAGAAGGATGTCTTGCATACTGCTAGGAAAAGCTCGCTGCCTTCCAAAAGTCGCAGCCACACAATAGACTTCAAGCAAATGAGTTTTGTTCACGGGACATAGGCTAAATCATTACGGAACCGAAACTAAAGTCAATTAGATTTCTGAGAGCAAGCATGTGCTTACAGCTTCAGGAAAATATAGTGAAATATCATGAGCTCATGTCTCAAAAAAGAAATACGCATGCCCTCTGAAGATGAGTTTCATAGAATCCGTTGCAAATAAACAACATCTAGTGTGTTGATTGTTCCATAAAACATTATCCAATAAGGCTGTGAAGCCAAGTCAATTGTAAGAACATCCTACAAAGCATCCAAATAACAAGGACAAGCCCACTGAATATTTTCAGGAAATATATAACAAATTTTCAAAGTTGTTCAACTGTCATTGCATCATTTAAGAATGGATAAATTGCCTTTTTTCCAAATTGTTAAACAATTAATTACAAAAAGTGATAAAAGCTATAATATTAGAAAAACTGTAATGATACCCTCTATAAAAGAATTTATCTCAGCAGTAATGTACGAGGATATATCTCAAATTTTAAAAACCTTGCCTTAGTGGCAATGTTTTTAAAGCTAGCACAGCAAAGCAACAAATTGATGGACAAATCTACCATTGCAGATAATGATGCTTTATCGATGGCATACATATGCTATTTTGATGAAAACAGCACATTACGAGAAGAAATGCTATTCACAAAAATAAAGTAACGTGGTAAGTAGTTATTATTATTATATGCTTTAACTTACTGCAACTATGCTTTCTAAATTTTATAAAGTCGTGTAATTTTCCCTTTTTTTAACTCACCATTACTGTGGAACCGGTGTGTGGTTAGAAAATTTTACTGCTGACAGAGATAGGAAAGTAAGCAGTGGATATAAAAATCTTGACTACTCCTGCCTTAGATAATTGATTTTTCAAAGTGGCAGTGTTACCCCCCACAAGGAAGAATGATGACATCTAAAGGAAGCCGCAAGTGGGGCAAGCATTACTACACCACCCATGCACACCACATACCACGCTATGCTGCACTCAAGTCTTAGTTGGGCCTGAATTCATTCAGTATCGATCACATGAGAAGTGCAGTTATATGTACTTTTGATGTGAAAATAAGCTGTTGACCTTGTAAGCTCTTTCCCCCCCCCCCATCATGAGTTTGGCGAAAAACGCGAATACAATGATGATTATATTATATGCAGCATTATTACTATAAACAAATGTAGAACCCAAAATTTTAGTCTATGAGCTGCAATGTATTTATTGGTTACAGAGTATTGAGTAGGGATGCTATCAGAGCTTCTCATCTGGAGTCACATTTGTTGACAAAATAAAGCATGTTAAATGTTAAACCAAAGGAGTCTTTTGCTGCAAAATAGGCAAGTTTGAAACGTATAAAATTGGATAATAATGGATCCTCTACTTAATCATCTAAAAAAGCACTTGAAGCTTCTTATGAGCTAGTGCTACTCATCGTTAAGGCCAGAAAAAGTCATACTATTGGAGAAACACGTGTCAAATCTTGCCTGCTGAAAGCAGCTGATATTGTTCTTGGACTAGAAAGTAAGCAAAGTTTTCACTAGTACTGCTTTCTGACAACACTGGGAAGTGTCACATTGATGATATAACCCATAAAAAATCAATTACTGCAGGCAATGAAAGAAAATTTTTCACAACTTAGTTGAACGAGGATACATATGTTAAAAATGTTATCAACTGTTAGTTTTCATTCAGTACATACAAAACGAAACAATTAAGGATAAGATGTTGTTTTATACAAAGCAGAGGAAATAATAGCAGTCTCTGAATTCTTTTGAAAACATGAACTGTGTTGGCAAAAACTGATAAGTGTATGCTTGGATCTTGCTCAGGATTCATAGATACTCAGAAAATAAAATCTCAGTGTTACTGCTATTCACTGTATTGTACACCATCAAGCCTTGGCTGCTAAGGCACTTCCAAACGAACTCAACAATGTCTTAAAATTATGCATCAAAATTTTCAATCATGTTAAAAACGGTGTATTAAATACTCATTTTTATGGCCCTTTGTGAAGATTTGGAAACAGAACATAAATCACTGCTATTTCATACAGAAATACATTAGCAATATTATTTGAACTTCTACATGAAGTGATTCAGTTTTTGGAAATTCTGTATTCAATTGAATTGTATGTGGAATTCTGAAAGTAAATGTTGAAGTTGTATTAGCTTACCTATCAGCTATATTATTGATTTGTTGAACTCATTGAATGTGAAATTTACAGGGTAGAGATGTTATCATAATTTATGAGTTAACCAAAATTGAACTATAGAAGTAAGTTCAGCATTGCTAATGAATTACGTTGCTTACTTTCTTCTATTTAATCAAAGAATGAAAATCTTGTGAAAAATATGCAAGTTCATTCATCTCATTGATTAATTTTTTTTTTCTTATCATATATGTATAAAAACAGCATATTTATATAATAACTTTTATAACTTTATATTTTTTGTTCTTATTACTCTTATAGGTAGATAATATTATTATTTTTGGGGAAGGGGATGAGGGAATTTTGATTTTTGGCAGTAGGGGGTATGATAAAAATGGCCTCGATGTTATGCAGACTGTAAAATATTATTTATTCTCATTTAAAAAAAATACATGTGAAGTTTCTCTGTCAGAAAACTCATCTCAAAGGCTTATTGATAAAACGTTTAGAGATAATTTATTGAATAGTTGGATATCTTGCAAAATTTTTTACATTTTCATGAATCCTTCTTTTCCTACTAGCAGTTCTTCTTCATTAGTACCTGTAAATATGCATGTTTCAAATTGTAAGTGAAAAGCCATTTCTGCATCAAATTTTCTTGCTAATAATGACTTGTCAAATATCTCAAGACATGAGAGCTCTGAAGGAACAGCCCAAGAATAAATAATGCTGACAAAATGATTTTCAAGAGTAATTAATTATATAATGCACAAAAATATTTACAGCTTTTACATCGAATAGATTAATGTCAGATTTTACAAAAAGAATAATTATACAAGCAGTAGGCCATGATGGCCTATGACAGGTATTATAAAATAATTAAATTAATTATCTTGGTGAATATATAATAGATTAATGTCGGGTATTAGAAGAGAGTAATTACTATTACAATTAGTAAGCCATAATGATCCATGTTAGGTGTTGTCACAGCTGATCCAAATTAAATACAGTACAAAGTCCTAAGATCTGTATGAGGAATTTTTCCAGATATTAGATCATCAGTTCAAATTGAAATAATTTAGTAAGATGACACTTGTAGAAATTATAAAATTAAAAATAGGAAATAGTGGTTTATGAAATAATGAAACATTTATAACCTTAACACATTGTTCAATAAGTCCCGGGACTAACTAAGAAAACAACATCCATTTCACGTTTATTCATCAATATAATTACAATCAAGACCTATGCAATCATTCCAACTTTTCGATACCATGCTTGTAAAAAAATTTGTCTTTGTCTGCAAAATAAGCTTCAGTAGCAGCGATGACTTCCTCATTCAAGCCAAATCTTTTTTTCTGAAGCGTCTTTTTGAGATCAGCAAACAGCCAGTAGTCGCTGAGAGCTTGATCTGGAGAGTATAGTGTCTGGGGAAGCAGAGTGAAGCTCAACTCGTTTAATGTAACCAGTGTTTGCATTGACTTGTGGCACAGGGCATTATCTTGATGGAAGATGATTTTTTTCTTCTTCATGTGCGATCCTTCTCCCCCCCCCCCAATTTCATCCTGCAGATGCACCAATAACTTGCTGAAATAGGCGCTATAGATAGATTTTCCCTTTTCAAGGTAGTCAATATAAATTATACCTCGCACATCCCAAAATATTGATGCCATGACTTGGCCAGCTGACTACTGCATTTTTGGATGCTTCGGATAGCTTTCACCAGCTGCATGGCACTCAGCCGATTGCTGCTTCGACTCCGGAATGAAATAGCGGATCCATGTTTCATCCATTGTCACATACCAACTCAAGAAATCCTGTTTATTGCGAGTAAACAGTGATAAACAGCTCTGTGAATCATCGACCTTGTTCAATTGTGAGCACACGCAGCATCCGTTTGGAAAACTCTTTTTTTATACCCAACTTTTCATGTAAAATTGTACGCGCACTTCAGGTGGTATGTTTACCATCTCAACAATCTCGCGAACTTTCACTTTGCAGTCATTTATCACGATTTTCAACACTTGTTTCACATTTTCTGGAGTGACTGCTTCATTTGGCCCTACAGAGCATGCAGCATCATTTGTATCTGTGCGACCACACTTGAAATCAGCATACCAACGACAAATGGTTGTTTTCAATGAAGCAGAGTCTGGATAACATTTTTCAAGCCATTGCCGAGCTTACATGGTATTTTTGCCCATTAAATAGTAATGTTTAATCAACACTCGAAATTCATTTTTCTCCATTTTGTCCACAAATGCACAAGTAATGTCACTTTCACAACAGTAGCTTCGCTTTTTCTGGTCCAATTGCCATGAAAGTCAGATACATGTCATTTGAAGGTTAGTTCTTTCTAACAAAGTCAAGTTAACATTACTGTCAGTTAGTCACGTGACTTATTGAACGATGTGTTAAATGAATCAAAACTTACAAAACAAAAGGCTCAATATTTGTTTGTTTGCTTTAAATATTTTTTTTTAATGTAAGTAAGTAATTCAGGTATCTTCATTTTATCTGCTATTGCTTTCTGTTGCCTAGTGTTAAAAGCTGCTGAACACTGGTAGTTCAGTCTGGGACTTGAGTCCTGGTGAATAGGCTGGCTGCATGGGCATTTTCATAGCATTTCCCCACGTGTAACATAGATATGAACCAATTTTCCATAAAATATCCTTCCCCTCCATGTGGTAACTAATGGCGAAGCATGTATTTTTTTTTTTTTTTTTTTTTTTTTTTTTAATTTCCTATTTAATTCTATAGGGCATAATTGCCATGTTCAGAATTCCCACTACATTGTCAATCAAAATTTTTTCATTCTAGGTATAACGATAACTAGCATAACATAATGGATAACTGTATTGCTTGAAATGAAATTGAAGAATCACTGCTGTGTTTTTAATTAAACTTTTCTGCCGTCTTCTTGACTTTGGTTACTAAATTAATAATTGTTATTGAGAGCACTATTTCTAAAAAAATTGAGGAAAATGAGAATATAGATTAAGGAAAGAACATAAATCATTAGTTATTAATAAAACACTTAAAATCTTAACACATTTATAACATTTTCTTGTTGAAATTTGTAATTTATATTTAAGATTCTTAATTTGTCAGCAGTGTAATCTTAGATAATTAAATTTGATAAGTCAGGGAAAGATTTTAAATTTATCATGTCTTTTTCATATTGAAAACGTATTTGGTAATGCTGTATTGCCTGAATTTTCAGAAAGGAACATTATAGAAATATTTAGAAAACATATATATATTGTTTAAGAAAATATTGGGTCATCTGGAAAGTTGAGCAATTTTTCAAATTAAAGTGCATTTTGTTCTAATATTTTGTTACTGCTGATAAGAAATGACCTTGATCAAAGTATATATTTAAACATAGTTTTTTTTTGCTCGTATTGCATAATTCTAGAATGTGGCATGACTTTAATACTAAGAACGGAGAATTCAAAATTTATTTTCATCATATTATACTCTTTTATTTTAAAAAAGAAAAAATGCTAGTCAGTCTGCTCAGAAAATTTGTGCTGTATATGGACAAAATGCAATTTCTGATAGCAGTTCAGAAGGTGCTACACTGTACAGATACCCATACTTTAACAGAGCAGAATATGCCTGCTTGTGTTTTGGCATGGGACTCTTTGTTAAAGAGAAATTAAGAAGCTGCCCGCCACCTTTATTTTTAAACCGCTTATCACTGGAGATGAGAAGTAGCTGCTATGCAATAATGTTACAAGAAAAAGATCATGAGGTAAGCTAAATGAACCTTCTTTAGTAACACCGTGAGGAGGCTGCATCCCAAAAAAAGTAATGCTTTGTTTATGTTTGTAACTCTGAAAAATACTGTTTGCAAGCAGAAATCGAAACAAAGTGCTCGTAACTGATGAATCGACAAGGTGTTGTTTTTCCATTGCGACAGTGCTTGGCTGTGGGTGAAATGTTTTGTGTTGATTCCTCCTCTCTCCATAATATTCAGTGGACTTTGCCCATTCAGATTTTCATCTCTTCTGTCACTTCAAAATTATCTGAGTTGCCAAAAGTTCTCTTCTTCAGAGACTGTCAGATAGCACCTTGATAACATCTTTATAAATAAACTTACTGACTTTTTTCAAAAAGGAATTTTCCAGCACCAGGTAGATGGCAAAAAAGTCATGGAACTGTATAATGAGTAGATGTTTTGATGAAATCTGGTTTCCTAATATTTTTGTACTGCTCCATTTGCGTTTATCATAAAATAACCTCAGCACTTTCCAGATGACTGAATAGTAGCGTAGCATGTAAGGGCAGTTCATCCCAAGTGGCACAGTTTTAGGGGTGGTATTTTTTGCATGAAACATTATTTTATACGAATTAGTGAGGTGGAATTTTGAGGCAGATTTATTAGATTTTAAATTGCCGTATGGAATTAAATTGAGAGGAAAATAGTTTTTGTACTAGAGAAAGTATTCAAAGAAATCAACATGTGATTTCAACAGCTCTTCAACTTTTGCTGTTCTAATTCAGCTTGACTTTTGAATAAAATTATGAATATCGACTAAATTATGATCACAGTGACATTTGTAAGGAAGAATTCCTCATTAAGAGGGAAATGTTTCATAGCTTCATTTCTGTTATTGTTTGGGAAATCAAAACAGGATTATGGAATGACGGTCCTTTTAAATTCTTGGCAGCTTATTCTAAAATTCAGTCTTCAGAGAAAAGTTCCAAATATTATAATTACTAGCATAAACTTTCCTGTCAATTGCAGTAAGTGTTGCTAGTTGTGAGAAGTGTTTTCTAAGTAAGCCTTCTTTCTAGGTTTATAGATTTTCGAAGTCTACCTATAGAATCTGAAAAAGTGTGGTGAACTTCCACAACAGCAAAGCAGATGGCTCAAGATTTGTTCATAATTAATTAGAATTTCTTCATCCACCTTTTCTTTCTTTCTTTCTTTCTTTCTTTTTTTTTTTTTTTTTTTTTTTTTTTTTTTTTACTCATTTCTTTGGACTATGTAAAAAGCATGCAATTCAAAGTAATCCTTTTAAAAAACTGTACTTTCTGACCATTTGTTTGAGCACACATAGGTTTACACATTTTATATTTCACTGTCACTCCACTGAACCGAATCCATTGGCTAAAAAATGTAATCTAAATGTATTAGCCATATAAATGAAAGGAACCAGAATTTAAAAAAAAAGTCTAAGTATATATTTAACTTAAATGTCAGATTGGGTATTATAAATTGAGAGAGTTATTTTAAGTTGTATGTATTTGTACAAAATGTAAACAAAAAAAATTAATTTGCAAATCTGTTGGAATGAATGTTGAATAGTATTTGTAAATTATTTGCATGAAACACGAATCGTTTTGCATTATTTTTTTCTGTCTTGCTTTTCAGGTTGCTCATTAATTTAACACCATTCTTAAATCAATATTACCATCTTCTGAAGGTTTACATGGCTGTAATTTTGGGAATGCACAGGACATCTAACAAATTCTTATCTATATTGTTGGATATATTTAATACTTTGGCAACTAAGGTTTGTATTTTCTAGATGATGGAATTAAATATATATTTGTATTTCTGTGTATTGTGAGATATGTTAACACTAAATAACAGTGGGATAATTATATATTTGAAGTTTGTTTATTTGTATAATTTTGCTATCTAAGTGCTTGTTTCTATAGGTTGTATTAATTATGTATTTAATACCAAAATTTGTTTCTGTAGATCATCATAGAATAGCTACAATGAATTTAATATGTTTAACCATTTGCTTGGTTCCATAGATCATAATATAGTAATAGTAATCGTAATCGTTTTAGATTCTTTATTTTTCCTCCATAATGAAAATCTGATGTTGGTACTTGTTGTTCTCTTGCTTGATAAATGTTTATTTGTGGATCATCAGTTCATTTATTATTTTCTTTAAAATCTTACAATGAAAATTGGGATTTTGGTCGATGAGAATAAACATTAAAGCAGTATCACATGTACACGCTACCCTCAACAGTGCATCGAAAGGAACATTTCCCTGAATTTTTATTTCTGTAATATCCAATGGAGAAATCATACAAGGGCTAGTGCTTCAAGTGAAACATTTTCAGTTAAGTTTCGAAAAGTCTTGCATAACTAGGAAGCACTCCTGCTTTTAACGAGACATGTTTCAGTCAGGAACCCTGTAATGGTAGGTGATGAACAAACTCGTTTCTTCCAGCCTCACACATTGTTTTATGTGATAACCCCCATTATATGCAATTAAAATATAAAAATATACTTTTTTGTCAAATTTCAGGTAGCTCAGTTGTCACTGTGGATTTGCATATTTTGTCAGCATTGTTAATAAATCCAGAGTACACAGCATATTAATTGATATTTGAGAATACTCTGAAATGTTAATTTGAATGCATTTTATAATCATCATCACCCCAGTATATGTACTATTATATGTATAGTGTTATTCTACCATGTGTAATGATTCAGAATATTATACCCTCTTTGAAATTTTGGCGAGAATTATGAAATTTCTTTCAAGTTGGTAAAATGGTGTTATTAATTATGCTCATATAGAGTAAGTATTGTTATTAAATATAATCTTACTGAACATAAGTAAATTGTTTTATTTTCCAGGGATTTTGCATTCCTCCAGAACTTCAAGAAGAAGCTAAAAAGTATGGGGCCACTAAATTTGAAGATATTGACGGTGGTGGTCTTGGAGAAGGTGAAGGCACAAAAGATGTCAGTGGTAATATTAAAACTGAAGATCAACTTGAGGATGCTTTTAAAGAAGGCCAAGAAAAGGAAGACAGTGATCAGAAATCCAAAGAAATCAAAGTATGTGTTTTCAGTTATTCAAATATTTTTAAAAGAACTTGTTTTCTACCGATTTTGACTTTATATCAAAAGTTTATTTTAATTTAAAATTCAAAAAATTATGTAGCTAGTAATGCCTTTCAAAATTAAACCACTTATGAAAAAAAAAAAAAACTTTAAAAATTATAAAATACTTTTTAAACCTCAGATTGCACTAGGAAGTGTAATAAATTTACATGTTTTAATTAGGTTTTTTATCATTGCTTTAAGTTACTTATTTTTATCTCTTGAATTGCTTAAGGAGGAGGAAGATGGAATCGAAATGTCAAATGATTTTGAAGGTAAAACTCATAATCCTGATGAGCAGGATGAAGAAATTGAAAAAAGTGAAGATGAAGATGATCTTGAAAAGAAAATGGGAGATGTTGATACAAGTGAGGCAGAAAAACTTGATGAGAAGGTATTTCATTCTAGAAAATTATGAAATCAATTTCAGTTGTTGAAAATATTCTTAATCATTAAAAATATTGTTATGATTGCTCAGTCAATTCCTCCAAACTGAATACAGAAGAAATACACAGTGCATTAAATTTTTATAAACTCAAAATGCTGCTTGTCTGGTGCCAGATTTCTGTCTGTAAAAGCCAAATTTTAGCTGGTTTGGCATATTTTGCTCTAAACTATAAAGTTTGTTTCAGCTGTTTGTTCAGATTATGTGCCAGAATAATAAATAACAATTAAAACTCTTTCTGAAATGTTAAACTAAGTACTGTAACAATAATTATGAGAGAAATTTGAAAACTATATTGTGTAGTAATATATTCGTATAAAAAAGCATGGAACAGTAAAAAGAAATATTATTTAAACCAAAGCTGTAGTTCATAAGGGATCAAGAACAATTTTTATTTTGTGTAATTATATAGAAACATCTGACTTTTCTTTCCTTTCATTCTTGATGCATTTTTGATTATCCTTACATTTTAATATATTACTTTTATGTAAGCATATTGCTTGCACTCATTGTATTATGCTTATCTAAGCGTAATACAAAATATGTAAAAAGTAAGCATAATACACTGAAAAGTGTGCTTACTTTTTTATAGTTTAGAAACCATTCTTATAAACTTTCATATTTTGAAATTCTACACTTACAAATCAGTTGATTGATGCTCTTAAATGATGTGAAATTCTGAATTCAAATGCAGTTTTCTAATGTGTTTATGAAATATAAATACTGAAAGTGTTTTAATTTTTATTCTATGCTATTTTTGTCATGAGCTGCTCCAAATTACTAAAAATATTTCATAATGTTGTTTCCAAACTGCTAATTTTTTAATATAGCTACTTGTGCTATACTATTAAAAATTTGCTGATCTAGTTGTTGAACTAAAAGTAGATTTTATAAATACTTTATTGTAAAGTTTGCTAAATTAGTTTTTTTTTTTTTTTTTTTTTTTATCTGCTCTGATCAGGAATATGCAGCATTTTATTTTTAATTTTCGTTCTTTCATTTTTATGGTATTTTTATACAATGTACCTTTTTGCTTTCAGTAATTAATTAGTATATAAAGTGCAGAATTTTAAGCTTAATCCGAGCCATACAAAAAAGCACATTTCAGTATTATTATATTTTAATTTATAACCCAAGCAATATAATGTTTTTAGATCTTCATTAATCATTTCAGTGTTCAAAATTTCAAATTTTTCTGAATCCACAAAGCTCTCTAAAAGTGTCTAACTTCATTTTTTACTATATTGTTTGCTATCTGAAAATAAAAAAGAAATGCTATTTTGGAGATAAGAAAATTCCCATGTAAATCATAATAAATGCAATTTATTTGATACATTCACTAATATAAAAATTTAATATATATAAAAGATTAGGTAGTTAATGTTATTAATGTAACTTATTTATAATTTATTGTGTAATTTGTACTCATAATTTTACAATTTATAACATATATCTATACATATTTCATTTAAAGATATGGGGAAGTGATTCAGAGGATGAGGATGAGGAGGAAGATTTAAAAGAAGAAAGTGAAAGTGGAGGCATCACGGAAAATAAGGAATCAGAACTTGTTGCAAAGGATGGTGAATACAAAAAAGATGATTATGAAAAGCGTAAAGATAAGAAAGCTGAAGAATTTTGTCCTGACACCGATGATGAATATAAAGAGGATATCCCTGATCCTCTTATTGATACAGGTCCACAACAAGTTAGTGTCCTTTTTTATAATTAATTAAATAATAATATTGTACTATATAATTTCATAATTTTTACAGTATTAAATTTGATAAAATTTGAATAAGTCTATAAAATGCAGGATAGTAATTTAAAATGTGATGTATTACTAAATTTACTGACATTGTAGTTTTGTGAAATTATAATATCTATGGTTTCATTTTTTTTTAAATTGATGACTCAATTTAATAATCATGAATTATGGCAGAAACAGTTAATTTTATTCTTTGTGAGTAATTGTGATTATATTAATTACAAATGAAAGAAATAATAAAGAAAGGAAAGAAAATATACTTAATTAAGTTTTCATATGAACTTCCTTTTTTTTTTTTTTTTTTTTTTTTTTTTTTTCCCTGATTTTAACACAGTTAGAGGAAGAAGGAAACCCAATTTCTTTTTTCAGAGTATATTTTAATTTAGAAAGCACAAATAGTTCCATCTTAAAAATCGCTGTCTGAATTTAATTCTTAAAATACAGTAAAAAACCAACTATCTGGCATTTAGCTAACTGAGATAGTTTCAAAATTTTTTCTCCGTAAAATTAAGCAGATGATAAATTTGCAATTCTGTTATAAAGCATGAATAGGACTGTAACTGGAATCAAACAAAAACCTGTCATCAAACAGTGCAATTTAGCGGCAGTAATGGATAAGCTTGGCATAATGCTTTGGCTGTATATAAATCCAATTTTTTTATTAGTCAGTTTAATTTCTATAAACACTAATTTCATTTACATGCGAGTTATCTGTTTTTACTTCCTTGTAAAAAGGAAGTATTGTAATTCTCGAAAAATTTCGGGTATCATATTTCAACGAAAATATCCATTTTTACCGCTATCGAAAGCAATTTAGATGTTTTTGTGTGACATCTGTACGTAAGGACAGAATAAAGGACTCTTTTCCTCCCCAAAAATTATAAAACTGATTTAAAATGAATTCTAAAGAGATTTTTTTTTTTTTTTGTGGCGTCTATATGTACGTATCTCGCTTAACTTGAAAACGAGTAGCCTCAGAACGTTGAAATTTTGTACATAGGACTGCTGTAACATGTAGATATGCACCTCCCATTTTGGTTGATATTTTCCAAACCAAAGTATATAAATATATATATATCCACTCTGTTACTCGGCTCAGTGAGCTCAATTTCTTTATTCTTATATGTTTGTAAATTGTTCATTTTTTGCTTTTAAAATGATTGAATTATGTTGTTCTGGTTAAGATTTTTATGCCTTTAGTTAACCTGCAGGCAGTAATTATGGAATTATCAGCAATTTAAAAGTTTTTTTAAGTGCAGCTAAGCCTAATTTTTTATTATCAATTCAGCCATGTTTGTTTATGTTTTCAAAAACAAAGTAATGTCTTCCTTTATTATTGCGAATTAAATTATGCTTAATTCATTCTGTAATTATCATTTAAGTTATTAGCTTGTTTTTGCATAGAAATTGTAATTTTGTTTGTTTTAGCTGTACTTGGTGTTTTATGTTTTTCCATATCTTTCAAATTTCAATGAAAATGTTTTGAATTTTTATGTATTGTTGCATTGCCGCAAAGTGAGAACTGAAATAATTAGTAGCACATGCGCATGAAGGAAGCGGCACTGAATCATCTGTGAAAAACTGTTTCTTTTTTATTTGTTTAATTTCTTTTATACATCGTTTTAGATTTATTATAGTATTTGAATAGAACATGTGGTAATTCTTCACATGATATAATTTTTGTGCACTCTGGGTTATGAAATGAATGAGATGTAATGCTGTTAAGTGAACCTTGCGCCAAAGTGTCGTTATGTTAAATAAATATAGTGAACTTGAAGAGTGCATTTATTCTGTTGTGGTTTATGCACTATCCACAAAGTAGATTTAATTCAAAATTCGTTAACAGTTAATTCAATATGTTTAAATGAAATGCAGGAAAATTGCGTATAATTTAATATTCTGTACAAGGAAGTCATGTGGCGCACATATCAGATTTTTTAATTACATTCTGAAAATTTTCTGAAATTCAACACATGACCTCCCACCTGCCAGTTGCATGTCTTAAGTTGGAATTATCTAAATAGAAACAAGCTTTAAATAAACAATCCCACTCAACATTAAAATGATTTGTTTTCTGCTTCTTATTTCTTTTTTCTCTGATAAAACTCTGCCTTCAACTCAAAATACTAATTCTATGAAATAATAGTTTTATGTACAAACATGTAATATGATGTAAAGTGTGTGAAGATAATGAGGACAGAATATTTTTTGCCGTAGTCTAATCAGATGTTTCTAGCAATTGAAAATTGATTCATGTAGTCCGCTAGTGTTATCTAGATGTCGCTGAGTCTCATTTTTTGTCAAAAGTTTGATCTTACAGTCCGTACAGTTGTTAAAATGTTGAAGATAAGAAAAGAATTTTTACTAGCATTCATTATTCATTATAATTATGATTCTTTGTTGGACAAATATCTAAAATTTAGAATTTGAACAGTGGGCATTTTGTGGGTGCCAACCCCTGCTTTAAACCTTTTAAATAGTGTGAAAACTGAGCATCAGTACGTGAAGTTAAAAAACTAAGTCAATCAATCATAAGCTTGATGTTCACTAAATTTAAATTCCAGATTACCCAAGATAATATTTTTTGTATTCCAAATGAAAATATACATAATCTTCCATTTAGCCATAAGTTAAAAATAACAGAATTCTCTGTCATTTTTATGTATCACTGCCTTTTTGCAACATAATCTCATTACTAAATTATGCAAATATGGATTTTAGTGTAAATTAAAAATCTGACATATTTAAGTATATCAGTCTAAATGCCATTAAAATGTAATTTTTTAAGAACTTTCAAGAGATTTACGTGAAAAAATAAAGTAACAGAGTTGTTATGCAGTAATTTGATTTTTATCAGCAGTTCTTAAAAAAAAAAAAGCTTAAATTTCAGGAACAAAGTCCAAAATCCGGACTTGTTGGGACTTTGAATGAAATCATGATTTATGAAATAATGAAGTATTTATGATCTAAAAGGTATCAAAATTTACCAAAAAAAAAAACTTAATATTTATTTGTTTACCTTATTAAACATCTCTTTCAATGTACGTTCTTTAAGATGCTCCATTTTTTGTGTTAATATTTTCTTTTTAATTCTGTAGACAGACATATTCTCTTGTTTAGTTACATTGTTGAAGTCCTGTAACTGCTGTTTTGAGAATTCCAACTAACTTGTCAATTGAAATTTTCTTATTTTCAGTATCTTCTCTGTCCCCCTCTTCACTATCGGTAGCGGTAATTTCTGGATCTAGAACCATACTACAGATTTCGCCATTCATTAGCTGATTAATGATTGAGAAGCATTGTCATCACAATGAAAAACTTCTTTTATATCATCTATTACCGCTTCTCCACATTTCTTTACAAAATCTATTAATTGGAAAATTTCAGCTTTGTTTTGCGATATCCGAAAACCTTTAAAATTTGCGGCTATCATCATCAAATTTAGCTGTCCTTCACTATGCATCGTGAGCTTGGCGACTAATGACAAATTGTTCCATTACATTTTATCTTGCTTCTATCATGCACGGAGACAATTAAGCCTGAATTGTATTAGTTTAGTTATTTATTATACTTATATCTATTTCTTGCATGTGCTTATCAGAGTTCTGAATAAATAAATTTTCACATATACTTGAGCCTAATTGAGGCTGGTGCTAGATATCTTACTGCCTGATGCAGCCTCTCTGGGTTCTAAATCCTGCGACCCGGTGCGCCCATACGAGGCCTGGTGCTGGTTCTGGGTTTATGTGAATAACAAATCAGTTATTCTTAATTCAAATAGCCCTAAAATGTAATCTTTGGGTCATCAACAAAATCTCTTTTTAGCATATGGAAAAGAAATTTTTAGTAACTTTTTCCTCGTCAACATTTTTTACCGCATTTAACTCAAATCTGTAATCATCGCCAAGCATAATGTCAACATAAAAGGTTACCATACTCCTTTATTATTCAATTACTAACATAAAAAACTGTTTGGCCCTCACTACATGAGTCATTACTTACTCAAGTTGTCATGTGTTGATAAACATGCAGTGATGAAAGGAAAGTATAATAGATAAATAACGATTTGCCAAGTTGGCGTCAGATCAACGATGTATCTATGTGCAATGTTTCACTTTGAGATGTTTGCCAAGCAGATACGCAGCAATGGAGCCAAATTACTGATCTACAAAGTATAATAGATAAATAACGATTTGCCAAGTTGGCGTCAGATCAACGATGTATCTATGTGCAATGTTTCACTTTGAGATGTTTGCCAAGCAGATACGCAGCAATGGAGCCAAATTACTGATCTACAAATTTATGCTAAAATGATTGTTTCTTCAATAACAAGGTATTTTATTTAGTGTTGAAGTGAAATTAAGATTCAGGACTCTCCAGACGTTTTATTATGTACGGAGGAGGGAATCAAATGTGCATGCATAAAGCCTATGACTAAAACGTTTTGAGGTCCAGATTTTAGATCATTCAGGATAATGGACATCCAGATTTCGGATTTTATACTGTATTTATCTTCAGTATTTCTTTGCATTGTAATTTGAAGCATAAAGTTTGGAAATTATTGTGCCCATTTTCAGAAGTTATTACTAAAAATCTAAATTTATAGAAGTTGTTTGGATCAAATTTAATGTTAAAAATATAAGTAGCATGAAGCTAGATGAAATTTGAAATTTTACATTTAAAATAGTTAAGTTTTTGCTAGAAAAATTATTTAGGATAAATATTTTCATTCACAGAAATGTAGATCATTATTGATTCAGGAATAACTAAATGGAAAGCATATTTCACAATTACAAATAAACATAAATTTACTTTGTATGGTAATTATTCACCTTTTATCTTTTGCAACCTACCATGTTATTAATTTTCTCATATTACATTTGTTTCATGACTCATTTAATTTTTACAATATATTTATTGCTTATTATTTAATTTATTACTTACCTACTAATGGCATAACATAGGGCTCTTAAGCATCTAAGTTTAGAAATGAAGCTCTGGCCAGAATGAATAATTTTTGGCAGTCTTCCCATGGTTATCTTTGGCCAAAAAAAACTTTACTGTCTAAATAATTTGATAGTGTTAAACATAGATACAATGGTAGTAGGGAAAACTAATGTGCTTTCCAAGGAAAATGGATTGTTAGATGGAAAAAGGCTGAGCATTAATAATTTGGCTAAAAAAAGGGGGAACTGCACTTTATTGAGAAATCATTGCAACTTTATTAAAATTTTGAAAAGGGTTGAACCTACTTTTTTTTTTTTTTTTTTTTTCTTTTTTACAAAGTGGTTTAGTCCTTGAGGGACTAGACTATAGTTTTTGTTTTGGAATTTTGCATTAAATCACTCTGAACGTCTGTTTCACTTTTCTAACTGTTGCCACCAAATGTTATCGCCCTGTATTATATTTGAAAAAATTAAATAATGAAGAATCTGCATAAATGTATGTATGTTTCTCGCATTATGTTAAAACAATGTTACCTAGAGCCATCAAATTTTGAATGCCGTAATCCTATTGCAAATATGGGCATCTGGAAACCCAAATTTGGAATTTGTTCTATTATGGATTTCATATTTTGTAAAAGTTTAATGAATTTTCGATTAACAAACTCAAGGATTTCAAAGCGAGCAATGGCAACAAGTGTTTAGAAAAAACATTTTTATCTCCAGTGCGTGAGACTGTGTATCGGAATTTCTAAAGCTATGCTCAGTTTAAAATTATTTTGCGATATTGCTCTTGAACTGAATTTTATGGTTTAAGTGTGAAGAACATAATATTTAATAAATAAAGGTAACACACAAAATGGTTAAAAAAAAAAAAGGAAAAAAAGCCCCTTTGTGCGTAATTTAAAATCTAAAACCCTTTTTTTTTTTTTTTTTTTTTTTTTTTTTTTTTTTTTTAATAGTTATACCAAAACCCAGTAAAATGTTATGGAAACTGAAATAAAAGACAGCAGGTTACAATCTTTGTTAAATTGGTTACTTTAACAACTTAAAAGGAGAAGTTAATCTTTATTAGTCATAGTATGTATAGAGGCTAGATTAATACATGCAGAAAAATTAATTACAAAATTTACCTTTCATCTGTTCTCCTTGTGGTTTAAAATAGGGCAGTCATGATGTAAAAAATGATTCGAGATAATAATTTGTAGTTAACATCAGCTTTTTCAAGGAAAAAATTTATAAACTTTTTAAGAACTCCCCCCCAGTTAAATATAAGTAAGTAAAATAATTTCTTCTCAGATATAAGAAACTTCAAATATTTTTAACTCTAGTTATATTCAATAATATATCAACTTATAAATTTACTGTAAGACTAAAGGACTGAGTTACTCGTTCAAACCAACACTACATTTAGATTGATAATCTCTTGTGATTACTTATCAAATCGATTAGATTTTTCGGTAGAGTTCATAACATCAGATCCTGTTCTTAAATAAATATGTGTTACTTAACTAAAAATATTTTCTGTATAACAGGAACCTGAAGGTTTAGACTTGCCTGATAATATGGAAATAAAGGATGATTATAAAGAGAATGAAGATCTTGAAGAAACTGAGGGAGATGCCAATATGGAAGATGTTAAAGATGATGGAGATACTGAGAATGGTACATATATTTTTTTTATAAATGAGAGTATGTGTCTTTAAACGAAAATATTGTATAAATTATATTAGTAATAGCTCTGTTAGTAATAACCCTCTTGCTATAAAATAACAGTGTCTGAAAATGCAAAAATAATTATGATTTTTAAGAATGCTAAATATTTTAAAAAGGAAATAAAATGCCATAAAACTGATAGAAATGCAGCATAGTAAAGAAAGCATAATTTTATTAGTATAATAATAAGTAGCTATAGCAGTAATGAAGTGATTACACTGGTGAAAAAACATATAGGATTTGGATTAAAATTATTAAATAACGTTTCACAAACTGAAGTGAGAGTATATTGCAAATGCACTGCAAGCAAAAAGATGAAACTAATAAATATGAGAATGAAAATTGAATTAAACTTCCCATTTTCATGTGAGGAGTTCAATATACATACAAAGAGGAAAAAACCTTTCCTGAATATTATTTTTATTTTTATAATAATAATAATTAGTAATTCTAAACTATGTCTTCTCTCCTTGCTTTAGGCTTTTTCTTTCTTTTTGCTAGCATATATCTTAAAATTTAATTAAAACATGCAACAATAACAAAAATGATAAACACCTCCACTGCACTGCAAAACAGTTATCGACAACTTTTGTAGTCTAATGTGAATCTTCAATATAATCTTTTTGATTTTCAGTTTTAGTATCTGTTTTTGATTTTTCATATATTATATTTCAGACTCTAGGTCATTTCTGTTGTTTTTAATTGCTTACTACTTCATATCTGTTTAAATTCTCCAATAATCTAAATGCCTGAGAATTGGCCTTTAATTTTCATTATCTCCATTTTCGTAAAATTTATGATAAACTAGATGTATATGTGAACAACAGTCACCCTAACCTTGACAAAGCTACTGAAGTGGCCTGTCATGCAGATGACATTGTGATCTGGCACTCAAGCAGAGATATTCATGAACCTAAAACAATCCTCCAGAAATCTCTAAATGAGACTGTAAGATGGTCACAGAGCTTAAAACTCAAGATCAATACTGAAAAGATTACTACCTGTGTCTTTTCAACAGATAGGAAACATGAAACCAAAATTATATGTTGTGAAGGTAAATGCATAAGAAGACATCATGCCCAAAATACTTGGGAATCACCTTAGATGCAGAATTGAGATTCACTGAGTATCTCAAAACCTGTGCTGACAGACCTTTGAAAAGATTAAGAATCATTAAACGTCTTCACGAGACAAAGTGAGGAGCTTTTTCCTTGGACACTTAGAACAACATACATCTCACTAATTAGACCAATCATGGAGTATCCTTCTTCCATTTGAGCTCATTCTTCCAGGACTATGTTGAGGAAATTAGAAAGTGCCTGTTAAAGGCCTTAAAAATCATTACTGGTGCAGTGTCTTCTACCAATAATTTAAAAGTAATCAGGAATGTGGCCTTAAAAGCCCCAGAAAAAGAATAATTATTAAATAATTAATTGTAGTAAATATGTAATATTGTTTGTAATAAAAATTACAAACAAGGCAAAAAGCTGTGTACCAGAATACATCGCTAGGAAACCCTTTAAAAACTATAATGGAAGCATTAAATTGAAAATGTCATCTCCTATGTAATTTGACAAAGATATTAGAGCAGTTCTCAACCTCAATCACAACGAACTTTCCATCTTTCAAGAGCCAATGTTTCCTTCCAGGCTTCCTATGAACTCTAAAATGGTATTCAAGAGTTATGCAATAAAAAGGAATTGATTGGCATCATTAAAGCAAAAAGGATCGGGACCTTTGAGCAGTATCCAAAAAGAAGATTTTGTTTACAGTTATACAGGTTCATCTGATAAGACAATCACTTTTGAAGGCTCTGGAGTATTTCTGACTACTCCAGGCGATACTACTTATCAACCCAAAACTGGTGTTGGAGCCATAGTCTCTAACTTCACTTGTGAACTTCTGGCAATAGCAGAGGTACACTTGACATTTATAAATCCCTTCCAATTTCTGAGCTAGCAAAAGGACTCATTGTCTTCTGTGACTTGAAGGCAGCTCTATATGCAATCTTGGATAGAAGCTCTCTGTGATCACCAACGGGATCTACTTTTCCCTAAAGGAGCTTCAGAAGTTAGATAAGGTCTGCATTCTTCAATGGTTGCCAGTGCATGTCAACATCACAGGTAACAAGAATGCATATAAACTATCAAAAGACTCGAAATCTCAACAATAATAATAATGTTAATGTCACTCTTCTTGGATTCAAATGCTATTGCCAAATATAGATTGAAGGAGTATTCAATTCAAGTAAAGCACCAGCTCCATAACGTCAATGGAGATCAACTTATAACCAAAAACATTGTCAGTCTTAGAACTGGTCATCAGAAAGGATTGAAAATTGACAGAAAGTGTAGGAAAACATGCAGAAACTACAATACAACTACAAATCCTGGGCTAAGATTCAAGACGCATGAAAAAGGTTTTGTCAAAAACCCCATAAAGAAGCTGTGACAAACTTCAGACTGCAAACAGGTCATGATTACTTGGAACATCATCTTAATAAAATTGGCACCCTTCCATCTAGTATATGCCAAATTTGCAATTTGGGCATCATGAATGCAGAGCATCTTCTTATATGCCCAGAACTAGATAACAGTCTCAGAAATGTGGTGAGATAAGTAAACTATACTGGAATGCCAGAGCTTGTAAAGCATCCTTGTAAAGAATGCATCTCTTATGTTCCTTTCTTTGTTGTTTAAATTTTTAACTTTTTACTTTTGTTCTCATGTTCATTTATCCTGATTCTTACTTTATTAATGTTTGTTCTTTTTTATTATTTATTAGTGTTCATGTATGATATATGAGCTGTTTTATGTTTGGATTGATCTTTCCAATAAAGTCATATGTAACAACAACTTACAGAAACTGTGATAATTGCCCAGACATAGAACTGAGAACTACTCGCATTTTTGATTATCTGCCCATCCTTGCTGAATTATTAAAAATTGGGGGTCTTGTTTAAGACACCAAACCTCTGGTGATGATAACATTTCATAGATTGCTAGGGCTGTCTTCTTCATCCATGGCACTGTTTGAATAGGTTTTATCATAGACACAACAACATCTCCATTTTCTTTTTCGTCAAAACTAGAACAATTTCAGAATAAGCATTTCTAAATTTTATCGTTCTGTGTCGTTCTTTCCCAAAAATTTTAGCGAAATTTTATTCTCTGTCTAATCAGAAACACACTGTCTTTGATTTCATTAACTATTCTTTGTCTCTATTTCTAAAGGCGGGGAATCGCATCCCTGAAAAAGGGGGGGGAATAACATGAGAAGTTTGGAAATTACTGCATATCATTTATCAAATAAAGCAGTTTTAAAATATTCATCTTAAAATAATTATTGAATATGATAAATAAAATTTAAATTTCACAAAAATCATTATTGAATTGATGTTGATTTTAATTCAGATCTCTGGATTTGAAGGTAGACTGATATGGGATTGTTGAAATGCTCTAGTATTTCTAAAACGTTTGAAAATTTAAAATATTTTGAAGAAAAATGTAGAATTTTTCTCTGAAACCATGCCAGTCCAATGTGGAATTTATATACAGTATATTCTAGTGTATAACTTTTAACACTAAAAATATGATCGAAATTTACCACTATACATTATATGCCGAATATAAAAAATGATAGATTAAAAATAAGGAAAAAATCAGCATACAAAGGTTAGATTTTTTTACATGCACTTATGCAGTTTATTTAAAAGAATGATATACGTTTTGAATTTAAAAACTTTTCATTACTGGATAAAATGAAAAGTTTGTTTTTTGTTATGTCTTCAGGCACATCAGCGATTTCTGTTTCATCTTCACCATTGTTGTTACTCTGATCCATAAATAATTCATCATCATTTGTTCCATCTTTCACGAACTCTAAACATCCCTGCTGCAGAACGATTTCTATTTTCTTTTGCAAACTGAATGACTTTGCATTTGAAAGCAGCACTTTGTAATTTCATTTGGCAGGAGCCATATTTACTACTAAAAAGAACTCTGGGCCTGCTGTATTTTAACTAAAATCTTCGAAGTTCACTTCAGAAGCCTCTATAGAAAAAGAAAACATCTGAATCCTAATTCAGCTAATTCATTGACCTTTAAAATGCAGTCTTACTCCAAATTATATACTCCTTTTTCTTGAAACCCTACAATAGCATTCTTTTTTACACTTGCATTTAATACAATCCATCCTCTTTGCAAGAATACTTACTCCCTCAAGCATTTAACCCACAGACATATTGTTCCCCTTATAACTTGTCAATTAGGTGTACCATTGTTCAGAATGCTAAGACAAATCTTCAAATAAGTGACCTCAAAAGATAAGAACATTTCACATGTATCTTTTAGGTTTCTTCATAAAGAATAGAGTGCAAATTATACAGCGAATATACCTAAAAATTTTAAAATGTAGCTTGAAATTATAAATGTGCACTGTGCACGGAAAATACGATAATTATTAATATTTAATTTTTTTTAGAATATGTAACATATTCTGCATTTTCTTTCTTTGTACTTTAAAGTTAATGATTTATTTGTAAATGTAACTTATTAGAAGATGAAGACAGTAGTGCAGAAAATGAGCAAGAAGAGACAGAAGAAGGAAATGACAAACCTAGTGATAATGTTGAATCTAAAGACGACACTGAAGGCTGTGATTCAGCAGAACCTGTTGAAGAAAATGAGAAAATGGAAATTGCTGCTGATGATCAGAGAAATGGTAAGCTTTTATAACCTACATCTTTAACTTAAACATCTTAAGCATAATGTTAATTAAATTTCTTATATAATACTGCTTAAATATACTATTTATTAAAAGCAATTAATATGATATTTCTTAAATTATTAATTTAATAAAGGTTTAATATGTAGCTTATTTTTTCATGTGATATTGAAGAATGCAAGGCACATTTTAGTCTTTGAGGTATAGTTTCTGATTATTTAAATGAGTGATTTCTGTGACTAATAATATATATGTAATATATCTAATTGAGCAGATATCTCATAGCTTAATGCAGTCTTCCTCAGAGTACCTAGGAGTATTTTATAAAGATTTGATTGCCTTGTGTAATTAATTTATTCTCTTCCTGAAAGTGAAAAATAAGATGTTTTTCACTTTCAGTACAATATATCCTTCACCACACTAATATATCTATTCTAAAGTCACTAATATATCCTTCACCACAGTGTACAACTTTTGCTTGTATATTCCTCAACCCATAGTATATATAATTGGAAATCTCCTGGGCATACAGAATACTTTGATACTTTTGATATGCCTGTTTCAGCAGGAAATATATCCCGCTATTACAGGTACCTCAAATAACCCAGGTTAGAGGACACATAACATACAGTGCTTCACAGGAGTACCTTGACAGTGAAGTGCAGGAAGATTGTATAGATGTGGCCCAGGCCAGTGTAAATGAAAATATCATACTTTGATACTTCGAAATTGGCTGCAAGAAGTTAAGATTTTTTATGAGGGATTCCGATAAATGTGGGTTGCATAGGGCCTTAAATTGATGTCAATTTCTAGGAGCTCGTACTTAAAATTGTCTGAATAATTTACCTCCGTGCTGGTGATGGCTTTGTTTAAAAAATTGTTTAATTTATTGATGAATAACACCAGACTTTGAAGTTTAAGATCTCTGTGTAGCTGTTCATTGGGAACAAACCAGGGGGCTCCTGTGATTTTTTGTAAGTAGTTGTTGGAAAACCTGCCATTTATTTAAAACGGAGGTGGGAACAGAGCACCATGCATGGGAGGCATATGTAAGGATGGGTCTTAATATTCATGTGTAAATGTTCTTCTTGCGAGCAAGAGCCAGTGGTAAGGAGGCATCAAAGAAGTTTCGGAGCTTCCTAGAGACTCCTATGGCTTTCCCAATGGTCATAGAAATGTGAGGGCTCCATGTAAACGAGCCATTAAAACAAACTCCTAAGATTGTAGCCTCTCTGACTTTAGGTACTGTTTCATTAAAGAGGGTCAGATCTGCATCAATGTTTTTTTCTTCTGTGCCGTCTTATCAGTCTTATTATCAGTAATAATTTGGATTTTGTGGCATTAATGGACGTCCTCCATTTGCGACACCATTCCTCTATCTCGTGTGTGAGGTTTTGTATTCTGATCATGGCATGTCGTGGATTAAGTGAACTAGAAAGAATGGCAGTATCCATGCATAGCAGGCACTGATGCAGTTTGTATTTTCAATCATAGGGAAGTCCTTAACATATATAAGATAGATAATAGGCCCAAGGATGCTTTCCTGGGGGACACCGGCTTTAATTAATGTGTTTTCAGAATAAACATCACCCTGCCTGACATAGAAGATAAGTCCGTTATGCCAGACGCGGTCAAAGGCTTTTGCCACATCCAGCATAAAGAAAGCAGTTGTCTGGTGCTTATGAATAGCTGTGATTAAAAATTCAACGATTCTGACAAGCTGCATGATGGTAGACAACCCTTTATGGAAACCAAACTGCTGGTTTGGAAGCACGTTTAGGGCTGGCTGTAGTCTTCTGCAGATAATCCTATCTAGGATCTTTCCCAGTGCAGGAAGCAAGCTGGTTGGGCAAAACCCATCCACTCTTGTATTATCTTTTCTGGGTTTGGGAATTAAGATGACAACCGCTTGTTTCCACTCAGCTGGGAAATAGCATAGGTACAGGAAGGCATTGTAAATGCTACAGAGTTTGTTAATGAAATTACCAGGCAGATGCTTAATCATTGAATTAGAAATTTTGTCCTTCCCAGGTGCTTTTCTGTTATGAAGCTTAGTTATAATAGAGCTAACTTCTGTGGGAGAGGTGGAAACAGGAAGATTTTTGACACTGAGCTGGTTAATCCAATTATCGACAAACATGTTAATGTAGTTAATGAAATTTCGGTCTGAAGAGGTCTCATTTGGGGTGAACTGCTTGGTGAAGTGGTTGGCAAAGGTTTTTGCTTTGTCTTCGTTGTTGTATTTGAATCCAGTGTCGTCCTGTAGAGGTTTGTTGCTTGCTTTTGTAGACTTCATTAAGCAGAGGGACTTCCAGAATTCTCCGTCTTCTGCATTTAATTTTTCAATTTTGTTATTGCAAAGGTTAGTCTGGTGGGAGTCAGTTAACCTTTTAATATTGCGACTAAGTTTATTAATTTGCGATTTAATTGCCGGGTTACGCGAGTGGGAGGAGATCTTGTGGAGTCTATTTCATGATTGGCGAATTAATTAAATTTTTTGTGGAAGTTTGAAGCGATGTTTTTTATTAATAATTTCTTTAGTAGAATTTTGCAACGCCTTATCAATGCAGGTGGTGATGCTTGTGATGGTCTGGTTGATGTCATGTGTATTTTTAAGTAGTTCTGTTTTGGGGAGGTGATTGTTAGTTTCAGATTTGAATTTGTCCCAATCAGTAATTTTGTAAGTGGTGTTGGCTTCAAGCGTGCTAATACCCAGGTGTGCTAGAACGTGATCCGAATAAAGATCATTGATTACTTCCATAGTGATCGGTAAGTTATCAGATGTAAGTAAAAGATCCAGAATGTCTGGATACTGTCTTGGGTGAGTAGGCTGGAAAGTAAAATCTTCTGGGGGGGGTAAATGTAGTATGGGTAGTTAAACAGGAAGTTTTAAAGGAATTCATCATTTTTATTTGTTTCGCGACACCCCCAGCTAATGTGTTTAGCATTGAGATTACCTCCGATTATAGTGGGAAAGGCGTTATTTATTAAATTCTGTAAGTGTTGATCTTGCAGCCTGAGATCTGGAGTGTTATAAAGGTCACATATAAGCATATTTCCCCAATTAGGGATCCATACAACAGGGTTGCCACACTACCTGGAAAATCGGGAAAACCGGAAAAGTCAGGGAATTTGGAAACTGACCAAAAAATTCAGGGAATTTAAGTATTTTAGTCAAAATCTGGAAAAGTCAGGGAATTTCATACAACGATCCCGCCAAAAAAGGCGAGTTTTTTTGCGACGACGTCGGAAGAGAGAACTTTTTTTGCGAATTGTGTATCGCGATAGTATCATTCGGGCAGCTGGCATAGAGCCAATTTTCGCAGCTTCAATTTGATTGTCTTTTAGAAAGGCAAGTTTCCCGCAACTTTTGGTTTCCAGTAACCTCGAGAAACGCATGTGCAGTGCATGAACTAAAGAAAGTACCTGTTCTCGTATAAAACAAAATAGGTTTAATCCTAGTATACGGTACCATGAAGGTTAGAATCAAAGAATATGTATTGTAAAGAAGGAAAACCTCTCTGCAACAGAGGTGGGTCCGTTCCATCATAGAGAGAAACAGCTGTGCATGTGTGATATATATGTTGCCAAAGCTCGAAAACGGTGTCGAAGTTCGAAGGTCACGTTATCAAGAGTTCATAAAATGAATATCGTATAAAATTTCTTTAAACTCTAAAGGAAAAGAAAATATTTTTTGGCGCAAGTAAATTAATTCATGGGTTAGTTTTTTTGAGGGGGGGGACCTAAGAAAAAACGTTCTTTGATAAAACGTTTCTTCTTGGATTTTTCGCAATAATTTAGAAACGGATTTTCGTAGTTTTCTATTTTGTCAAAGAACGTTTCTTCTTAATACGTGTTTCTCAATTTCCTGTACACATCGCGGAGAGGGAAATTCTGGCCGCCAGGTTCCGTCGCCAAATTCCTTGGCAAATTTTCCCTCCGCATTCTAACGGCGTAATAGCATTTACGTGTATTGAACCTTTTCTTCTTTACATTTACGTTCTTTGGTTAGAATAATCTCTATGTATAGTACAGCGGGATTTGGCGACATGAGGATGAGCAGTAAACGGGTCATTTTGTTCTTGGCGACAATTTTCAAAATCGTGCGAAGGCCGTGCCGTATACTAGGATTTTACCACAAAATCTTTTTAAACCTTTTTTTTTTTTTTTTTTTTTTTTTTTTTTTTTTTTTTTTTTTTTTTTTTTTTCGGTGTTTTTTTTTTTTTTTTTTTTTTTTTTTTTTTTTTTTTTTTTTTTTTTTTTTTTTTTTTTTTTTTTTTTTTTTTTTTTTTTTTTTTGTTTTTTTTTTTTTTTTTTTTTTTTTTTTTTTTTTTTTTTTTTTTTCTTTTTAATAAATAACTTGTCATTTTGCAGTAAAATAAAAAAATAGTAATCAGTCATCTAGGCTAACCATGTAATATAACTATATTCGCTAAAATATCATTCATTGATTATTCTAATTCAGTTTTTAAGTAATTATCATTATGTTTATGTTATTCATATCATTTAATGTTGCTTTTTCCCTCTAAATTTATTTATCATTAGTTAATAATATTTCCAAAATTTCAGGAAATTTTCTCTGGCATAATCCTGAAATTAATTCTAGCAGTATGATGGCATACCATCACGAAATTTAATGCACATATTTTTTCCTTATGTGTGCTGTGAAATAAATATAAAATACCTCAATTTATTAAAAAAATATCATTAAATAGATTTCTTTCTTTCGTTTAGCTGCAGAATGTCTGCAAAAAAAGCCTTATTTTATTCCAGATTGGGCAAATTCTAATCTCAATCTTCAGTGGAGAAAACAACTCCTATTATTTATATTTATGTTTTCAAGTGTTAAGGTGCCTTTTAAGAAGACACCTCACACAAATTAAATTTACCTAAAATCTAACCTAACTATTTAGCATTGTGTTGTTATTTATAAGAACTGGATTAGCCTCATGTTGAACTGGTGATGATCATGAGTAATAATTAAATAAAATGTACAATTGTTATCCAATGTTAATATCTTAAATTTTATTAAGTTTCTTAAGTGGAAAAATAAACAAAGTGTACCAAGAATAATTAAGAATAAATGTCCTCTGAGATTTTTTGAATAATTAAGTGAATTTGCTACACAATACATGTAATACCATAATAACCTCTAAGCACAGCCAACGTACATTACGCGGATAGACTGGAATTTTCTCAAAACATACCTGGAAAAGTCAGGGAATTTCATTCTCCTGTTTGAGTGGCAACCCTGATACAACTACCCTTACTTCTTCAAACCCATGAGAATTATCAGAAGCATAGAAGCAGGAGTCCAAACTCCATTTAACATAGATTATGGCACCTCCGCCTCTATGTTTGATCCTATCGCAGCGATAACTGCGATAGTTAGCAATGCTCAGGGAGTGCGCTAGCATAGCATGTGTCTCCGTGATTAGTGCAATATCACGGAGTGTATGAGATATATAATGAGTATATAAATGTAGTGTATGAGAAAGTCCTGCAGTTCGCTAATTTTGGTGATAATGTTCTGCACATTCCATGTCATGATCGTCACTGGGCTCATTTTTACTAAGGGCCAACGATCCATAATTGATCTCAGTTTCAGGCCTCACTGTATTTTGCTTTTCAGCCATGGTAGTTGTATTGTGTAGAAGCGCTATAATATCAGCGAGGTTCTTCATGACCTGCTGAGCATCTGCTACAGCTTTCTGAATTTTCCCAGTGAAAATATCAGATTGAACAGCCTGGGCGTAGGATTTATTGATAATGACCCTTTCTTCAAACTTGGGGGGCATTGGGTTTCTGCTTTGGGAAGGCCTCACAACCCCTCCAGTTGCTGGTATGCTTCCCAAGACAGTTACAACAGTTCGGCTCAGAATCTTTGGGTTCCTGGCAATCCCAGCTTTCTTGAAGGCCTGCACATTTACAACAGTTGAGGTGGGTGGTGACACGCTGCCTGCGCATAATGGTATCTTTGGCATCGAAAGCATTGTGTCGGAAAGGTGTCCGAATTTTTTGTATGTATCTCATAGTTTCCTTCACTTTTTTTTTTTTTTTGCGATGAAATCAGTCAGTTGTTCCTTTTCAAACAGTAAAGTGAAAGATTTCCAGTTGTACTTGCATTCTCGAATGCAAATCGCGGCATACAGAATATTTATAACTTTGAACTTAAATTTGCAGTATGACAAGGATGCAGCACTAACAAATAATCATTTTTATATGTTTGTTTATTTCTGACAAAATTCAAAATAATTGGTAAGAAATTATAAATCATTGTAATTTTTCCTGATTTCGCAGGCATAATACTTTTCTGGATGATTTTAAGGTTCAGTTGTAAAATGTTTTTCTTTTCATTATCACTGTCAATTTGTGAATTTTATTATCATTGTTCCGATATCTATGAATGGTGGCTGCACATAATTGTTCAAATGATTGTTATTTTTTAAGGCAGGTAAAAGTCAGTTTTGGTATTAATCTGACATAGTATAGATTTTCTTTGAACTATTTAAAAAGCTGAGTATTATTATTACTATTTTTAATTTTTCAAAAGATGTAGAAATGATCAACAATTTTTTCAAAAAATCATTATTAAAACCTAGTGAGTCAAAAAGTATTCTGAGTAAAGTAACAGATTAACATCAGAAACAGCAATATAATTGGTTAAATTAATGAAATAAAGCACCATACATGCTTTGAGAGTGTAAAGTGTGCATTGTTTGTATTTAATAAATGAATGGTAATCACATGCAAAACATTACTTTCTTACACTTAACATTTTGAGATGAAGATTTTGCTTAGCTAGGATTTTAGTTGTCTAAAAATGTATATTATTTGTACAGTTTTTAATGAGCCATATGTTAAAATTTTTAAATATTGTCTCTTTACTTAATTTAAATAAATTGCTATGTTTTCTTTCAAGCATGAATTGCTTGACATACATTTTCTTATGTTGCAAAGTATGCAGTAATGCTTTTATAATCATTAATAAGACTTTGTAAAGAAACATTTTTTGGTGTGGGGTTGCATGGATAGTGTTGCAAAAATGCCTACTATAATTGAATGGTATACCTTCTTAAGTACATTGAAAACTATAGCAGTCATAGTTAGTAATAGCTTAGAAATATGGCATCTAACTGGTATATAAATTTCTTTGTATTTGAATTATTATTTTCATTCCGGTAGATTTGCTACCTACCCATACACCAACCTCTGAAGAAGCAATTGCATCTGCTGATAATACCAAAAGCAGTTCTCATGATCCTGTACAGTGCAAAGAAACTCCAATGGAGTGGGAGAGTGGTGCCCAAGATGTGAAAGAGCAGCATAGAGAAGGTCAAGCAGATTCAACTGTGTCACAATCTGAAGGTAGAAAATTTTTATTGTAATATATTACGGATTTAAATTTGAGTAAATTTGTAAAATTTATAAAATAAGTAAAAATTTGAGTAGCTATATCATTATTTCAGCTGCAACAATTTAACTAACCAAGTTTCATGTACAATATTTTCCAAGAAAAAATCACTGAGTCAAAGCAAATGAAACCATAATTATTTGAAAACAGCAATTTATGTCTTTCAGATATTGAATGGACTTTCAATAAAAGAAATTTTAAGCCTTAAATGTAATCCTTGAAAATGTGTATGTATAACTAAGCAAAAGCATTAAATACAACTCAGTTAAACATATAATAAGAATTTTAGATAGATTTTAAAGAAATTTCTTATATTGCTATCATTTATTTCTTCATAAAAAAAATATCAAAAACTGCAGGTTCGTGATATAGGTCTGTTAGATCAAATGTATTGAAAGAAATCTAAGACATGGCAAATACAGTCAAAAGTCGTTAATCCGGACTCGTCGGGACTTCGGCGATTCCGGATTATAGATCATCAGTTTAAATCTGGTAAAATGGCATGCAGAAATTATAAAATTAAAAATATGAAACTGTAATTTACGAAATAAAGAACAATTATGATCTAAAGGGTATCAAAATTTACAAAAAAAAAAGCTTAATATTTATTTGTTTACTTTATTAAACATTTCTTTCATTGTAAGTTGTTTAAGTTGCTTCGTTTTTTATGTGATAATACATTCTCTTTAATTCTATACACAGACATAATTTCTTGTTCAGTTACAAAGTTCCGCTGTTCAAGTCCTATAATTGCTGTGTCGAGAATACTGACTAATTTGTCAATCGAAATTTTTTCGTTTTCAATAACCTCTGTCACTTTCTTCGCTATCGGAAGCGAATTATAATGTTCCACTTTTTGTTTAATGGACTGCGAAAGATACTTTCGCTTTGTATATCCTTTACATGTTAGTAAATATATATCGGAAATTCTTTTTGACCTAATCAAAAGTTCAAGCTTACTTTTATAAAATTGCTCTAACAGTCTGCAAAAAAATAATAATCTGGATCCAATTTGAAGATTAAGGAACAACGCAATCTGCAACATTAACTGAAATAGATAATTAGATAATTTTAGCTTAGCTTATCCCGTCCGTTATACATTAAACGCGCATTCGTAAATGTATTTTGCGCACACGCAAATTCGCAGCGGTAAAGGTCTTACGCGCATGCGTCAACAGGACGCATGCGCAGAAAGTTTGTAGCTTTGAGGTCCGGATTATAGGTGTCCGAATTAACGACTTTTGACTGTATATGGCAAAGGGATTGTGAAAGAGTTAAAATTGTCCCTTATATGAAATTTTTTTAAAGCTGTGGAAAATCAATTGTTTGTAATTATAACAGCTGTGTATACATAATTAGCATAACTATATTTTGAATAAAAAATTGTTTTGACAAAGTTCTGATAACTATTGAAATTAAAGAAAGATGTCTCATCTGAAAATATTATATATTGACTTTTCTAAATTTTTGTCATTATTTCTATTTTATTATTCTTGAACTGTTGATTTAAAGTAATTTGAAAGTATGTTTCTGTTGAGAGACATTGCTGATTGTTTTATTAAAAAAAAAAAAAGAAAAAAGAAAAAAAATTGAGCTTTAAAATCTTCTAAAGTACACCAGGAAGCGCAAGTCACAAGAATAGAACAAAATTTTTATCTAATTGTGAATATTTATGAAAATTTAATATAAAATGGATGAATAATTATTTCTTTCATTATTCAATATTATTATTTTATAAATAATGAGGGTTTTATGCTTTTTCATATCTATTTGAATATTAATTTTATTTTTTATTTAGATTTTGGACACGAAGGTAAAAAATCATCAGCTGCAGTGAGAAAGACTGGAGAAGATCAGCAGCATAAATCAAAATTAAAGCAACCTGATGAAAACAGAGTAGTTGATGACTCTTCCACTGACAAGAATTTAAAACATAAACCTATTGTTGAGAAGCAAAGTCTTAAAAATTCATTAGGCCCTGATCCTGAGACATCTGCAGACGTGTATGAGCATGTCTCGAAAAAAGAAGAAGGTGTTGCACAAGCAGTTGATATAGCCACTGAGGAACAAGCTACTGCAAGGCCTGTTCAAGATCAGTCTGATTCAGCATCTGATGATGAGGAAGTTATTGAAATTTCTTCTGATGATGAGGAGGATGAATACCCAAGAGCTGAAGGAGATTCAGTTCGTTTTGATCAACGGAAAAAACCTGGAGAAAAAGGTTAAATTCATTCATTCTTAAGTTTAAAAGGGGGGATGCATTTTATTTCATGAAGTGTCAGATTTATGTATTTGTTTGCCCTTTTTAAATCTTTAGAAGTTATTTAATATTTAATTTGTTATGTTAATTTTAAATGAAATGTTTCTAGGCCTAACTTTTATCATTTTGTGCATAATATTTAAAAGATATTGCACAATAGAATATTGCTTAAATGATTCTTCATTGCTTCGTGATCACAGCTAAAGAAGTGAATCTAAATTATCTTGACTTTTTAACATTGTTATGGTTCTGGCTGTGTGGCACGTTTTAATAGAAATATGCAAAATTTAGCCATACTGGTGTATGGGTGAAAATTTTTGTTTCTATAGCCATACTGGTTCCAACAAAATTCTTCTGCGTGATCAAATTTATAGCAGATATCACTAATTACAATTTTAGGAGTCTCTGTATAAATACAAAAAAAATTCTGTTAATTCATGCATCCCCATTTCTCATTTTTACATTAAATTTGGATTGTTTGCACATAAATAACTAACTGACTTAAAAAACTATTTAAGTGAATTACTGATTATAAATCTGTTGTAGTATTTTTTAATTATAGTAATAACATACAGAGAAAACAGTGTTGATCCAAGGAGGAAATGTATTAATCAGATAAAATAGGAAAAACCTGAAAAAGTATTTATCTACCAATAAAATTATTTTTAAAGTAAATTTTGCACTCTTAAATGAGAGTAAAAAATAAATTAATAAATATACTGTTGCTATCCTCATTGCTAGGGAACTGAAATATAAAACAAAATTTCTGAGTCCTTTAGCCTATTTCTTTACTGTGTTTCCATTTTTTACTAGAAAAGTCTTTATAAATGCTAATTTCAAGAATGTGTTCCTATTTACTGCCAAACTCATTCATGTATTTTGTTTCTTGTGTAGAATATAAGTGAACCAAATGCATGAAAATGTATTTATGTTGAAATGCAACATCTGAAAAGTCATGGGTTGATAAATTCTTGATACATGCAATATAATTTCAAAAAAGAGCAGAATATGAACTCAAAAGTAGGGAAGCAAAAAGTTTTCTAATATTCACAGTTCTTTTTTTACTGTAAAATGAGTATTGACATGGGCTTAGAAAATGCTGTATAACTACAGTAATAAAATTAATTTGCTTCTACCATTAAAATATGCTATGAATATAATATATTTTTGTTTAAAAGTTTATTTTCGTTTACATATAAGAACAAAAAATGCCATTATATTTACCACATTGCATTTTCTGAATTGAAATTTTGTACATTCAAAATTAAGCATGAGTTACAAGCACTGCGGATTATTTATTTATTTTTTTTTAATTTAATTTATAAAGACTAAATGCATGTTAAGTTTTTGAGGTTTGAGATTATTAAACTATTAATGTTAAAGCAGATCCTTTCCCCTGATTCATCTTTGTAGAAATGCTAAAATTTGAAATTTTAGTATAGTGGAATTCAGTATTGTATAATCCCTAAACTTGACATTTTTATCTTTCTGTCTATCTGGTGAAAGCCATTTAAATCTTATAATTTTAATATTGTTTTGCAATTTAAAAGTTGTTTAAATGGTGCTAAGTCTAAAGTGGCCGCCGTTTGTTTATATTTGGAACTCTTAGTAGCATAGTGAATTAAGTTAGTTTGTGCTTTCTTTAATAATAATAGTTTGTGCTTTCAGTGTATTTTTGCCAAATGGAACCAAAAGTAAACTTTCAATTTTGTACACCAAAAAAAGTCTGTCTTCCTGCTCACTGGTCGAATTGTTTGTTTTTGCGTAGAAACTCTAATTTTAATCGTAAAAGTGCTTTGTTTTTTTAGCTGTTTTTAATTGTAATTAATGTTTTTTCTGTATTTTTTGCCTTGCCAAGACGTGAGAACTGAATTGATTGAATGAGAAATACATCACTAATGAAGTTTGAGGAAATAAGTTTAAAGGAAGTGCAGCAAAAAATGTCCATTAATTTGACAGGGCTTACAAGAAAGTCATGGTGTCCACATCAGAATTTTTTTTACACCAAAAGCTGCAATCTTGAGTTTTTAGTGCTTTCTTTTGACTCTAAATTACCATATAAATGTTCAGTGTTTTGGAGTTATCAAATTAATGCATCAAGGTCTCATGTTTGAAGATACATAAGTTGTATTAGAAGGAGGAGAAATTCAAGATCTGCAAATACATGATGTACCTGTGCTGATCCATGTAACATTTTAATCAAAATGAATAGTTAAAAGTTGATTATTTATACGATTTTAAAACTGGTATATAAATTATATCAGCACCTATACTGTGGGTATCTTGCCAATAGATGGCAACACCTGACTTCTCTGCTCTGTGGCGTGAAAGTATTTATTTATATTACAACTGTTTATGATATAATATGATACAGCTGCTTAGGATTAATTTATAAGTTGTTTATGATGTAATATTATGTTCATGGGGACCATGTTATGACCCTGTTCTAGGAATGAATAAAAGTATTTCAGTTTCTTCTTATTGTTTGCTTACTTCAGTCAAGCTTCTCATTTGTCTCTTGTTTAGCTAAAATTTTAATATAACCACTTCACCATTTTCCCCAAAACAAACTTGTCAGTTTCAAAATTGTCGTCTGACATTAACATGCTAATGGGAGGGGGCCTAAATTGTTAATCCCGAGAGATACTACAGAATGCAGCGAAAATTAAAAGAGGTGATTTATAAGTAATTTGGTCATGCTTTCTCCACAGCAGTGTTGTAATAAGATTACAAAAAGAAGCTCACATACAAATATGGGAAATATTTGTATTCCCATATTTGTATGTGTAATTCCCATATTTGAATGTACTTCAGGTACTCTTTCCCCTGGTACTGAAATGGAAATATGCTTTTTGGAGATTGTATTTGAAAGCATGCTTTTTGAAGATGGTGTTTGTTAATTTTCAGATAAGAGACTAAGGAACACAGAAGTCATTTTTCTTCTGGGTAAGGGTATAAGTACGCGATTTTTGAAATAGATCTTCACAGTAGGTGAAAGTGAGAGAAATATTTATAAGGCCATTTTCAGATGCAAAACATTATCCTTGGAGGGGGGAAAAAATGATATTTGAGTTTTGTAGGTTAGTGAAGAGGTTAAAGAAAATGCCTAAGTGAACTTTCTATAGAGAAGCACTTACTCTGCTTAAAGAGCTTCCTAAAACCATATCGGTACTTCTGATGAAGGATATTTACCAAAATAAGGAAGGGGAATATATCTGATATGAGCTAGACTAAGATGAGAATTACAGTCTTGTTAAGGAGCAAAATCGTATATTACCTTAATCCATCAAAAAATTTAAAGGGGGTGCATAGAGGCTTAGGGGTTGAAAATTGAAAATAAATAAATAAGTCTTTGAGGTATATCAGATGTAAAATTGTTTAATGACTTTTCTTCCTGAATAAAATGATATATCAAAACCTATATTTAGAAAAAATTTAAAAAGGGCCCTTACAAGGGCTTGATAATCAAAAGTGTGTATAATCAAAAGATTCTAGGTATAATCGCAGGAAACATGACCTTTTTATGTATTAAAGTATAAAATATAATTACTTTAAAAAAGTAAATTCTCACGTTTCAGCTGAGTTTCTTATCCTTGTAATGTTATGCTATACAGACTTGCTCACTTACTGCATGATATGGTTTTTACATGCAGTGATATATTTGTAAAAATGTCTTATAAAATAAGAATATTAAATTTAAATCACTTTCAAAAGTTTTTTTTTTTTTTTTTTTCTGCATATTTAACATAAGAATGTTCATCTAGGGAATGTCATTTAAGTATCAAAAAATGTATATTTTATTTGTAAAATTTTAAATTTCTGTAGAAATTTAACAACTTTTTGACTTTATACTTAAAAGAATTGCATTCAAGCACCCATTTCTATAGATGCGCATCAAATGTATGCAAAAATCGATTTAAAAAATTAACAATTGGCAGCTACGTGGAAGAAAATATTGTACAGGTGCAGTAGTATAAAATATATACAGGCCTTTGAGATTTCACTGTAGATTTTTTTTAAACCTCAATTTTGCGTTCTTAGGGTTCATAAGAAAATTTTACCACAATTTAAATTTTTTTTTATATACTGGCCCTGAAAGGGTTAAGAAGTGTCAAACTTTCTTTCCACTAAGTTGCTGTATACTACTAGCATAGCTTGTTTCCATTGATCTTATAGTATGATGAGTAATTAATATGGGTTAGTTGATCAGATAGGTCTGGCCTGCTACTGATGCTTTAGCTAATGCAAAAGATGTTGGTTTGGATATGAAACTAGTCAGTTAAAACTTTCATTTGATTTTCTTTAAATCATGACCCAACCAATCTTGCTATGTGGACAGGACCACTACATAGCAAGATTAGATTATACATAAAGAGGTCTCTTCCAAACTATTGCTATAGTGTAGGAGATATATAGTTATCTAAAATGCCTTAGTATATGCTGAAAGTCCTTAATTTAATATTTAAAACCTAGAGTCCAAGATCTCAGACTAGATCTCATGCTCTTTTTGACAGTTGTATTATTTTACCTCTGGCCCCCAATCTGTAGTTACCTCTAGCCATCTGCTATTCATAAAACATTTAAATTCTATCTTTCAAATACTTATTAACTGAGATATACATCTGTTTAAAGTATTAATCAAGTTCTTAAGAATTAAGTTGTATCCATATGTCTTTTTTGGCTGCCTATCAGTATTTCTGCAGATAAATGACTCCTATCTAAAGCCTTGTATTTTATATACAAAACTGCTCAACTGTTATTTTTTCAAAGAAAATTTTGTGAAAATATATGTGCAAAAAGTATACGCAAAAATATGATATAAGTAGCTATATGCTCCCTAAAGTAATCATGAAGAATTCTAGCTTTCATGGCAGTGATTTGTTTAAGTTAATGAAAATTCTTTCTTCCCAGCTTACATGAATTATTATTTTACAAGGTGATTCAAAAGATCTTCAGCATGCTTTAAAGGTGACTAGGAATAAATAATTTTTACATTGGAACATGTCGGTGCAGATGCTATCTATGTTAGCTCGCACCAACATGGTGTTAAATAAACATGCTATTAGCCATGTATTGAGTTCAAGAGTACTAATCATTATCATTTGAAGCATTCATATTAGAGCCTAGAAAAGCTTTTTTTTTTTTTTTTTTTTTTCATTGTGATTACCTGATTTATCCCCCTCTTGTTTGATTCTTCTGGAGTAGCTACTGATGTTGAACTCATTCACAGCAGACATCGTGGCAGCAGTGCACATTTGCCAGTTTATATATTATCATTTGAGGCATGTGTAATTGTGTTTTCGTGTATTATCATTGTGAGGTGTGTGTAATTGCAGTACAAAGAACTCTGGAACTGTAAACACATACATATATAATAAACATTACATGTAAGCTGAATTTCATTCCTTTATTTTTTATTTTTCTTGTATCTCTACCACTTTTAGTTGGCAATTGTGGCTACGTGTATGTTACAGTTTGTAAAAATGGTTGGATCTTTTATTCCTGACCTACCCTTTGAAGTTTATCTAAGACTAATTGAATTGCTATATATACAGTACAAAGTACGTAATCCGGATTCGTCGGGACTTCGACGATTCCGGATTATAGATCATCAGTTTAAATCTGGTAAGATGGCATGCAGAAATTATACTACAGTCAAAAGTCTTTAATCCGGACTCATTGGAACTTGGCGATTCCGGATTATCTGTTTTTCCGGATTATAGATCATCAATTTAAATCTTGTAAGATGACATGCAGAAATTATAAAATTAAAAATATGAAACCATAATTTATGAAATAAAGAGCAATTATGATCTAAAGGGTATCAAAATTTACAAAAAAAAACTTAATATTTATTTGTTTACTTTATTAAATATTTCTTTCAACGCGCACATGTGTAAAGCATACATTAGGCATCGTCGAAATTAGAAAATTGCAACCAGAAAACTATTTGTGTGTATTCGTGATATTTATAATGACGAGGAATTTGATTTAAATCATATCAAAGACAGAGTACATCGAGATGAAATACTACATTTAGTAAGGAATTATAAGCCGAATAAAATATAAACATCTTCCCTGAAGATAAGGGTAGAGCTGACAGATCAACTTCCAGTTCATTGCGCGCCGTGATGCCCCCCCCCACTACCACAAACAGAGCAGCTTGAAATTGATAAACAGATTTTGGAGTGGTTAGAGAAACAAAGGATATGTCTTTATCCATTTTTTGCAGCAATTCCACTTTTTGTTTGATGGACATCGAAATATGCTTTCGCTTTGTAGATCCTTTGGCAGCTCCAGAATCGGAAATTCTTTTTGACATGATCAAAAGTTCAAGCTTACTTTTATACAATTGCTCTAACAGTCTGCAAAAAATAATAAGCCGGATCCAATTCGAAGATTAAGTAACAATGCAATCTCCAACATTAACTGAAATAGATAATTTTAGCTTAGCTTATACCATCCATTATACAAACGCGCATGCATAAATGCATTATGCACATCCGTAAATGCATATGTGCATGCGTAAATGAAATATGCGTTTATGCATGCGCAGAAAGTTTGTAGCTTTGAGGTCAGGATTAAAGACTTTTGACTGATTAAAAATATGAAACCGTAATTTATGAAATAAAAAGCAATTATGATCTAAAGGGTATCAAATTGTACAAAAAAAAAAAAAAAAGCTTAGTATTTATTTGTTTACTTCATTAAACATTTCTTTCAACGCGCACATGCGTAAAGCATTTGCATGTAATGTATGCGCTTTCTCTACACATATGCGTAATGTTTGTGGCTTTGAGGTCCAGATTACGAACTAAAATGTCAAAACTGAAGGGAGATATTTTTATAAAATGTCAACAAAGCACTATTTAAACAGTGTATTTCATGTTTCTGTTGCTAGAAATTCTAATTAAATTACCAGAAATTGTAATATACTTATGGGAAGTGTTTCTTCAATTTTAATTTAATTTCCATGAAATGTAATAAATGGATGTTTTCTGTATTGTATATGTGCTAAATTCTGACTGCTTATTTTGTGTTGTTCATGTTGTCAATTTCATAAATTTTAAATTCTTAGAGATATTGTGAATGCATATTGTATTTTAAAATTAATACACGATTATTCTTGTTTAATTTTACATATAATATTTATATTATTCTTTATCATGTGTAGGTGAAATTGGAGAAAGAGATGAAAAAATGGAAATAACTGAAGGAGAAGTAGTTAAAACACTTACAGTTCCCCGTGGTCTTGAATCAACAATTCATACTCAGAATGATTTATGGAGGCATTTATCATTTGTAAATCAGCAAGGATTGCGCTTGAAAATGGAAAAAGACTTGGATCTGTTTTGCCATGCTGACAAAGAACAGACAATTAGCTCTGGTCAGTTATGGAGGAATTATGAAATACTTGTATCAAGTCTTGCGCAAGAATTATGCGAACAGTTGAGGCTAGTTTTAGAACCAACTAAAATGTCGAAACTGAAGGGAGATTACCGAACTGGTAAACGCCTGAATATGCGCAAAGTAAGTTATTTACCGAAAATGAATTCTGTAAATAATTTCCAATGAATTATTATAAAGTTTCTACTTTTAATTATTTAAGAATATTAATCAGAAGTTTATTTTAAATCAGTTTTCTTATGGTGGAAAAATTTTTGTGTTACAACGAAAGTTTAAAGATGATGGGGGGTTTTTTAAATGCTGAGTTGCAGTAATATTTTAATTATAATAAGGGCTGATGTGATTGTTTTTATTTAGCAGTTTCTGGCTTCTAGAAATAAAGATCAAAAATTGTTGGTAATCAGCAGTTACTGAAATCTCTCATTAATTTTTCATATTATGAAAGTATATGGCATCAGTGTAATAAAGAGAATCATTTTAATTTTTTCACAATAGTCACTGCTGAATTAAGTGCTGTGTATTATGCATTTACATTCTTATCTAAACTATGCCAGGAAAAGTTTATATTTATATAGATTTGTTTAGTGCACGAGAAGCTTTAGAACATTTTTCTAATACCCAGAACCTGGTAGTAGTTGAATTTCTAAGATTACATTAAATTTTAATTATCATGGATAACAGATTCTTTATTGCTGGGTTGCCAGATATATATAGATAAAAGGTAAAAAGCTAGCAGTCTTCACTACAGAGTTGTCCATTTAGCTTGTTCTTTTGAGAGGTGTTAAAATCATCATAATTAAATTGCAGATACTCCAGGGTGTTCAAGTAAATAACAAACAGAAAAGTATAAAATTTAGAGATAATGTTGGGAAGCATATAGAAATTGGTAGAAAGCATGTCTTTTAATTTACCTTAGAATTGGTCACCAATGAACGTGTACATTCTAATTGTAATGTTGTTCTGCGTATGTGCCTTATTTTAATAGAATGTCCATGTTTTAACAGTCTTTGTAAAGTATTTTAATAGTTCTGGTATAACTGTTGAGCATTTAATCTGGAAAGAATCAGTTTTAGTTTATTTCAATATTTGAGAGAGAGATTTTGATTATTTAATCTTAACTGGCTTTGAAGTAGCTTAAGGTAATATACATATTGAGATTTTATCTAGTTTTATGTTCGAACACATTTTCTCAGTTTTACACATCACTTCATCGCAGCATTATAATTTTGTTCTGCTCCATTTTTCTGTCATAGCATTAATTAATTACTATCAAAATATTGTCGCTTTTTATTATTTTATGCTGTAATTAAACAATATGGAATATTCAGTGTGTATATGGTTAATCATAACTTTTCAGAATATGTACCAGAAATTCCATCAACTAAGTTACAGCTATATGTAGTATATATGACATAGTTGACAGTGGCTAATGTTGATTCTATTGAACACTTACTAAATGCTTTACATCAGCTAGCACTGACATATCTGGCATCTACTATTAGATAATCTTTGCACATGAGTGTGCATTGACTGGTGGCATCCTGTTGACCGTTCCTGCCATTGCAAAAATAGTTTTTAAATATTTCATCTGTATTACTTAAAACATTTTGCAGCAAGTGTTATTTTATACTGTTAGTGTAATAAATTGTGCATACATTTGGAATCTCTGTTAATAGTCACTTCTAATAAGAGACAAAATTCTTGGTGACTGTCTGCTAAACAGTATCATTTCTCTAGTTCAAAGCTTTTCCTATTTATGTAACAAAATTTGATAAAAAGTAGTACAAATAAAACTATTTTTATTGGTTACTGAGGAAGATTATTGAAATTAAATATGGGATTATGAGAGAAAAAACAATGTGAACGTGTGTGGAATTTGTATTTTTAAAAATTATTCTTCAATAAATTTTATATGTTTAACTTACTTGTCAAATTTATAGCAGATACATTTTAAGAGTAGCAAATCATTTGGCTTCCAGCTGTACAGTTTTAATTTTTTATACATTTAGTTGTAATGAAAAAAAGAAGACCACATTGGTACAGTTTAAAGTTTATTCTGGTGAGAAATTTAAAAAAAAAAAAAAAAAGTTGAGTAATTATACAGCACCCTAATTTGATTGGTAAATGTTACAGCTTTATTTAGCGTGGGCTTGGGGGGAGAGAATTCCAGATTTAGTCTCCTAACCATATTGTCATTTTCATTATAATAATTTGCTTACAGAATTATTTTAGGTGCTTCTTTTCTTCAGTGAATTAGAAGCATTTTGCTGTTGTTTAAGCATTTGGCAGTTGCTAGATTAAGCAGTTCTTTTTTCTTAAATATGCTGTATATCTGTTAGTTCATAAATTTGTAATGCAAGCTGTGTTCATTTGAGCCCACTGTGGTGCATAACTAGAATTCGAGCAGATCTCATTGATGATCATCAAATGGTTTATAATTAGGGACTGAAAATTAAATATGGATCTGCTTTTTTCTTCTCTTCATTAATTTAGCGACATTATTTTAGAAATGCTGTTTTATTTTCTAGCAAGTATTTGCAGTACTAATGTTTGTTCAATTATTGTAGCTCTTTAAAAAAAAAAAAAAAAAAAAAAAAAAAAAAAAAAAAAAAAAAAACTAATTTGATGATGCAGGATAACCATAGCTAATATTCATTGCAGTTTTCTTATTTAAAAACTATATCATTGAAAACAGATCTTGCAATCCAGGAAGCCCACCTACAACCAAATAGTTAAGTCGCTAAACACTGGTAGTTCAATTGAAGGTTTGAATCTCGGCAAGCAGGCTGGCTACATGGACTTTTCATGATTTTCCCCATATGTAACATGTATACGAGCCAATTTCCCTTAGAAAGTCTTCCATAAAGGCACCTGTACCCCTAGGCAGATAGCCCTCAAGTACTTTGCCATAATTAAATAAACCAAACCAAACCTTACAATCAAATTGATAATGTAATATCATAGAAGATATAATACGGAAATCGAGGAATAAATGTGTTATCTTCTGTTATAAAATACTATTTCAAAACTAACTGTCATAAAGTATTGAAATTATTCAATTGAGTTGCTTTTAATTCTTCCAAACTTTCATAAAGTATATTAAAATTATTCAAATATATCAAAAAGATAAGATAAAATTTCCAGTTAACTTATGTGTATGTTTTACCACAAAACCATCAATATTGACGATATTTTATGTTACAAAATCTGAAACTTATATTTTTTATCCTACAGTCATACTATAATTTATAAATCTGTGACTTTGTTTAAATAGCTAATAAGTTCTGAGTATCATTATTTCTTATCTGCATATTCAATATGAAATTTTCATTAAAAAATTATTTCTTAATAGAATTAATAAAAGGCATCTCTATTTAAGTATTTCTTGTGAAAATAATATTTTGAAGCAAATTAAATAGCAGATGTATTATTATCAGTCATAATATGAAATTAGCATTATGTAATTAAGTTTTTGATTTCATTAAAAGCCTGTCTTTTCATTAGCAGATGTAAGATAGCATAATTTCTGTATTTATGGTTTTCATTCAAATATGTAACAGTATGAAATGAGAGAATATTTAACTGATACATTAAGATTTGGAACCAGAAAAATATATCTACTCTCTCTCTATATATATATATAAGCATCTGTCACCTAATTTTTCATTTCTTATTATTTTATATTAGTTGCATTTGCATATTTTTATTGAAGCTTAAAATTGTATTATGTCTTTACTAGATTTTTCTTCTGTTAATTTATGTTTAAACAACTGTTTTTGGTTGAAGCGTGTTCCATATGTAATAAAAATCCTCGTCTATATACTATTTGGTGTTCAGTTCTTTCATAAATTAATTCAAATTGTGTGTTAAATGATTAATATTACCTGTGTAGCTGTTTGTAAAAATTGTTATTTTTTCTTTTTGTTATAGATCATTCCATATATTGCTAGTGATTTCCGCAAGGATAAAATTTGGTTACGTCGGACAAAGCCAAGCAAACGGCAATATCAAATAATGCTGGCTGTTGATGACTCATCGAGTATGGCTGATAACCACTCCAAGCAGCTTGCTTTTGAATCTCTTGCCGTCCTAGGGCAGTCTCTGAGTCTTTTAGAAGCTGGAGATATATCAGTTGTGAGTTTTGGGGAGAAGGTAGAATTGCTGCTTGGTTTTAATGAACAATTCAGTAGCATCACTGGATCTAGAATAATTGAACAGTTTTCTTTTTCACAAAAAAGAACTAATTATCCTCAAATGTTAAATTATGCTACTGATGCTTTTGTTCAAGCTAGGAGTAATAGCAGGTTCACAGCAATATCCAAAGAAATTGCACAGCTTTTAATAATAATATCAGATGGTAGAGGTATTTACAGGGAGGGAGAGAAAGTAATGAAAAATGCTGTGAGAAGAGCAAGAGACAATAATATTTTTATGGTATTCATTGTCCTTGATAGTCCTTCAAATGAGGTAAGCTACTTAGATCATATCAATGTATAAATGTATGACATTTGCACTGTATTTATCTTATAATTGTATTTGTGTTTTATAAATATTTAGATTCTATTGCTGAATTTCATAATGTGAATAAATAATATCTAAAATGTAGGAACTTACCAAACACTTCAGATAATTCAAAATAAAATTTTATTAGCAAATGTTCTATTAAATAGCATAATGTAAAGCAATTGCTAATTTGTTTTGGGTTTATTTACGTGCTGTAATTTATTCACCCATAACTTTTTCAACTAAATAGTAACTTCTGCTAGGCACTGAAAGTTTTATATATATATATATAGTCATATAGCTGCACAGCATTTTATGTGCTTCTGAAGTTATATTCAGTATAACTAGTTAATTATTTGGTTGTACTGGCTTCAAAAAACATGAAATTAAAAATATTATTATTGCTAATGTAATGCGGCTCTTTTTGATTGTCACCGTCACAAACATTACAAATATTGAACAATGATACTTTTGCTGAATGGCATTTTCTGTTGGACAGATGGACTAAAAGTGAAATTGAGAAAATAAAAAGAAAAGTTTGTTCTTAAGATGAAAAAAAAGAAAAGAAATTAATTTATCATCTTACCATCAATTAATGAGGGGGGAAAAGTATTCATAAAATGTGATAAATTGCATTGCTTTGCAATAATGGACAGAAATGGCCAAATTTAATAATTGTCAGTTATTCACATGTTTGTAAAGAATATGAAATTTTTAGGTGTTACAAACTTCTAGTACTTATGTAATCTACATGCTAATCTAAGTCATAAATGAATAAAGAAAGGATTTAAAGTTAAAAATTCAAGATTGTAAAGAATTTAACAATTATGTTTAAAATCGTGCCTTAGATATTCAAATTTCAAAGGATATATATATTGATAAAAACAGTTTTGTTTGATAAATAGAAAAATAACTCAAATTTCAGCATTATGTTATTAAATTGGAAGAAAAATAGGCCAGTGCAAAACAAAAAATTAGGCAAAAAGGAAGTGTGGCATAAATTTTTAGTAAAACTCTTGTTGATTTTGCCGGCAATTAGATACAAGTCCCTTGTCTTCCAGGAGTGCAGTTGAGGTCTTGGAATGTTAATTCATGCTTCTTAAATAAGGGCCTCCAATATATGTATACTTTTTCTTGTATATTTACTTTATGTATTTTCACTTGTGTACTTTATGTATTTTCACTTTTCTTGTGAGGCCATGCTGCTTTTCCTGGTTGAGATTGATACCAGATTAATCTCGAACTTAGTGCAAAATTTTCTGGTACTGCTCAGCATTGATGCTTCCATCAAATGGAAGCAAGTTTCCAATACCAGAAACGGAAATGCTCTCACACTTGGATAGTAGCTGGAAATTTAACTTCATGTTTTCACATACCTTTGAATAAAAAATTCATTTGATTCTAGAAAGTACAACAAAAGTATGGCAACAAAATTACAGATTTAACACTCCCTTCAATTCTCTTGTCACTAGAACTGACAAAAGTATGAGTGACTTAAATAAGAAAACCTGAACTAAGTATTGAATAAAAATGTTAAAGGTTATAACTAAAATAAACTAAATAATAAAAATCTGTTAAAGGTTCACATGAAAGTCTTATGCTGAACAGTTCTCTTAATCTTTTAAATGTTGCTTTGGAAAGAACTTTCATGAAGAGATTTCCTAAATGTTATTCTGATTTCACATACTTTATAATAACAGATTTGTCTGCACAGTTTTTATGAATAAAATGGTAGTGCCCATGAATATATCTTTAGGCATTTCACTTTCACCCAAATCTTGTAGAAGTTGGTGCAACCACAATACTTCTTTCACTGCAAGAAAGCTGCAATATATTCAATTTCAGTGAGCCTCAGCAGTAGAGGTAGAAACAGTTGATTATTTTTAACTACACCAAATAAGTTGCTGTAGTCCATTACTGTGTCTAAACACATAGCCAAAAGTTGATTTTCCTGGAGAAAAGAAAAATAATAACAAAAGAACTGGAGCTAGTGATTTATTATAGTAGAAAAAATGGGTGTCCCTTATCTGTGGATATGAGCAATGGAATTATCGTAGCCTACTCCACAGCAAGAAAACGAACTCAAAAAGTACTACAAAAAGATATATCTCCATTTCTTAGACATTATGTGTCTGAATGCATTCATATTATATAAAAAAAAAATAATGGAATATTATTGCATATAAATTTTTTGCTCAGATTTATTGAAGACACTTTTGCGACATATCCAATTGAAAGAAATTAATTGACACAAACTCGGCCATTTAGACCTAATATAAGTCAATTAGGCAGGAATCATGTTCTGGATTATATACCCGGAACATCGAAAAAAAACAACCGTATGCGAAGGTGTTCGCATTGCTACAAACGTAAGATCAGGAAGGAATCGCATTACTGGTGTTCGATTTGCAAAGTCCCATTGTATATTGTACCCTGTTTTGCTGAATATAACTGTACAGCAGGAATTTAAATTCTTACTTTTATATGTATAATATTTTATTTAATTTATTGCATTTTTAGTTTAATATGTATGTAATATATGCTTATGTTAACCAAATAAGTAAATATTAGTAATAAAATTTTCAGTTTTATAAAATAAACCCATCTTTTTCATCAAATATCTTACCAGCTCAACTTACTCTGTGACTGATGAATATACTCATCATGGCTTGATTCTGGCGACACAAAACGGAGCGCACTCTTAAACGAGAGCGCCACAGTCAGCTGGTTAAAGACACATGAATCCACAATACTTTGCTTGAAACCAGAATTAGTTAAGAATTCAGAAAATGTCTTGTTCCAACATCTAAATGCTTGTTTCAGTCCATACAGAGATTTCTTAAGCTGAAACACTAAATTTTTGCATAGTTTTTTATGCCAATTTATATAGCATTCAATTTTCTATGTGCAGCTATAGCTAGAAAACCTCTTATTATTGTAAATCTTTTAAGTTGCTGAAAAGGTTTCACTGAAGTCAACTTTCTTTACTTGAGAGAACACAAAGTCTCTCTTTATGTCTCTCAATTTTTCTAGTACAGTCAAAAGTCGTTAATTCGGACACCCATAATCTGGAATGATCTATAATCCGGACCTCAAGGTAAACTTTGCGCACCCCATACATGCTCCTACGGAGCCGCGTACTACCGAAACAATATTCTTATTCTTTGTTGGAAAAATACTTATTAAACCTTTTTACTGCATCATCTCTCCTCCTTGAAATGTTTATTTAGTTTAGTTCTTATTTTAATGTAATATAGTAGTTACTTCTACTTCTTTTTCTTGCTGCCACTGTTTGCATTGAGAACGGACTGTTTCAACCTAATTGAGATGCAAAAACGAAATGTGATGTTACGTCATCTGGAAAAGCCGATTCGTGCCGATAGCTGATTGGTTACCGTGAGATGACGTCATGCCTACTTCTGTTATAAGTATCTCGCGTCGCTCTGGCTCAACCCTTCTAGTTCCCGCTTTCCTGGCACTTGGGTGTGCGGTTTCCAGCCCCTTCAGAAGGATGCATGCAGTCCGGTGAATAAAGTTCCTTGGTTCCTGTCCACAAGATGATTGTTCCGGAATAAGTTCCTTGGTTCATATCCACAAGATGATCGTTCCAGAATAAATTCCTTGGTTCCAGAGGCTACCATGTGAGTGACTGCCGTGGGCGGCATCCATGTTCTTCGATGAAGGTGGCATTTAAAATACGTGAGCGGCGATTCCTCGTGTTCAACTAATGTAAACGGAGTTAGGCCGGTTTTAAGTGCTTTCAAGAACTTGATTTAAATTTTCAGGTGTTTTCTTGACCATTGATCATGGACTTATTGAATGTGTAGCCAACTTTCATTTTTAGGCCGCATAATTACTGTTTAGGACATTTTTGTTTGTATAGAATGCCAGTGTTTTGGAGACCAGGTAAAAATATTATTTGATGAATGATGGTTATATTATATTTTTCCTAAGACTCTGATATTGTTTAAATTTATTTTCTGTGTTTTTATTCTTTATTATATTGTTAATAAATTGGTTAAGTTCAAAATCTTTTATTGTCTTCAATGTCTGCACAACATATCTCAGGGAGCTTTTATTGCTACTACTGCTAAATGTTTAATTTTTTAAACTTTAAACTTTGCTTTAGCATCATTTTGGTTATGGGCCCAGCCCCTGAGTTATTTTTAGTGCAGACTTTTGAAGTTTAAAGTTAATTTAGGACTTAAGAGATTGGGGGGGCGGTTTTTTGTTAAAATTCAAATATGGCTACTGTTAGTGTCATGCATAATATTGCTAAACTTGAGGCATGTAATTACTTTACATGGTCCAAAGATATGAAGTTTGTCTTTAAATGAAAAAATGCATGGCTTTTGGTCAAAGGTATTGAAAAATGTCCTGATTTAAATGATGTTAAGGGTATTACAAAAGAAATTATTGCCGACTATCAAAATAGAAGTCGATTGGCATTATCGTTAATTTATATGAATGTAAGCCCTGAATATAGAAACTTGATATGTGAAATTGATGACCCGGTAGTGGCATGGAATACGCTTGCCAAATACTTTCCAGCCAGATTATCGGTCAAGACATATGTCCCTGTTTTCAGAGTTCTTAAATTGTAAAATTAAGCCAAATGAAAGTATTAGTTTCTTTTCTTCTAGATTAAAACGCGTAACTGAACAGTTAGCTGATATTAATCAGGCTGTAAGAGACGTATATATATGTTTCCAGTTTCTTAGGTTCCTTCCAGATAAATTTGATCAAGTAGTTCAGAATGTTTTGAGGTGGCCAGATGAAAAGTTCATTTTTAAAAATGTTGAACTTGAAATACTAGCAGAGGAAACGCGTCTTAATTTAAGAGAGATAGATAGGGAAAATTCCAATAAGACTATAGAAGTCCAAAGTACTCACTGTGAACCCAAATTTAAGCAGATTAAAGGGCTCAAGTGTTATAAATGTGGCCGTCCAGGTCATATTCAAAAATACTGTAGAATGAAAGGTAATTTTTCCAGATCACCCTCACCTGC